GCTCCTGGTACTTCTCTGATAGCAGAGTGGACCGTGGAGCAACCCCATGATTGTTGTGGTCTGCTTCGGCAGACCTGCCGTCGGGGCGTCGTAGTTGAATGCGTAAGCGATCCTGCGACGCCCCATTAAGACGGGGGAAGGTTTTTTGTTGGGTTTTAGTGGGTAGTACTGGCTTCGCCGGTGAGTCCCACATTTCGTGCGTAAATGCATTTCCCAACGTTAAAAAAAAAAAAAAAGGGATGTAACAACGCCAACTTCCTAACTCCCAATAACTTGGCTCAACCCAACGAGTTATTTTTTCTATCAAACATCATGTATTGCAAGCACTATACAAATATTTACTACAACCAAAGTTCCGATTGTGGTCGTGTAGAGTGTAGGAATGGTTAGGTCCAGATTTTATATTATTTGTCAATTGAAGTTTTTTTTTTTTTTTTTCATATTATTGAAAAAGTTATTTTTGTACTGTCTCAACAGTCAACTTGAAATACTTGTAAATTATTATTATAATAATTATTCGTAAGCTCGCTTCCGGCATAAAGAGTTAAGAGGCGAAGCATCGAATATATACGCAAGTTTTATACAAAAATTTCGCTACTTTTTACAAACACGGATTATACAATAAAATATCTAAAAAGCTTAATATTTTTTTTAAATAATGTTCATACAATTTTTAGAACAAAAAGATTCTCAAAGGCCGGGAACGAAGCCAAGGAAACCTTATGCATTTGATGGTGGAGTTAATTAATTTTCGCTAAAGGAAATAGGACCCACATTTGTAATTACTTGAATTTTATATTTAAGTAAATTATATAAAAAATTATTTCTGAGAAAAAATTAATGTAAAATAATATTTTATTTAATAGAAATCTTAATATAACATTTTAAAAAGTTTATTTATTTCGTGCACAGGATGGAGTCAGTGTTATACGAACTCTCTTTTTAAAAGAAGCTTATTGAGTGTAGTTAAGGAGTTTCTATGAATTATATTTTTTTCATAAAGACAACTCCATTGCTTATTATTGTACTGAAGCAATATAGGTAGTTATGTAAAATTTTAGCGTGATCAGGTTCAAATATCGGATCAATAGCAAATGCAAACTTTGTATCGTACAAACAGAATACATAATACATCTACACACATAATAAAATTGTAACTAAGCCGAATCTGTACCTACATTAAATATTTTTTGGAAAATCTTATTGAAATAAACATTATTATCAATGCAGAGGCCGAATCCATAGTTTTTCTATGACCGCATCACGGGAAAACCACTGGAGGGATTTTGATGAAATTTGGTATGATGATAGCTGGTTATCCGGACCAACATATAAGATACTTTTTACTGCGGGAAAATATCTCATCTCTGAGAAATCTATTCTAGACGTTAAAACGTAAGTAGGTACGAACCCGAGCGGAGCGAGGGTGAGTCGCTAGTCTAAATAATAAAAGGCAAAAACTCATCATATGTAAACAGTAAAACCTTACGAAAATTATGTTAACCTCCGCTAAAATATCTATTAAAAAAAAAAACAAATCATCCAGCCAATGGACAATAAATTTAAAAATAAAGAAAACTATTACCAACACTATTCAATTACCGCCCTAAACTTGTTATCTCAACACAAAAACTAGATCAGGGGTCATAAATCAATCGTGAAAAAATGCTCCTTGACGTGACGGGGCGAAATACCGAAGTTGAGGCACGCTATCTTCAGGATTTTTTGTTTCCTTTACTTTGAAATACAGGCGTAATACAAATGAGGTCAAGCTTTTATTCGTTCAGAATTTTCGCACGTTGGCAAAGTGCCATTTTTTTTATTTGAAAAAATATGAATGTATTATAATATTATGTAACAGGTAAGCTATATAACACTTATATCATAATATACTAGGAAAAAATACTTAATTTGTATAAGAAAGCCATCTTACATTACTCACAAAAAATTATGTTAGGAATAAAATCATCAAATACTTATTGTAAGGTACTTTGGTGCCATTTTTGAATTTTTGAAATCATTTATGTAAAATTGTGGATAGGCACTGTCTGTAACAAGTATATAACGCCTTTGAGACATCTAGTCTTAGTCTCTCCCGTGACCATGATTGCAGTAAAGCAACCAAAACGTCGGGAACCAAAAATCAAAATAAATCCGCCAAATAATCCGAAAAGATAGTAGTATTTAAAAGAATCATGTTTTTAGAAAATATTATAAATATTTTTTGGAAAATCTTATTGAAATAAATATTATTGTCGATATAGAGGCCGAATCTAAATTATTAGAATTTTTGTCTGTCTGTCTGTCTGTTTGTTACCGCATTACAGAAAAACCACTGGAGGTATTTAAATGACATTTGGTATGGTGATAGCTGGTTATCCGGGTCAACATATAGGATACTTTTTACCGCGGGAAAATGTCTCATTTCTGAGAAATAATACAAAAACTACAATGTAAGAGTATACTAATTAATAAAGCCTAAGAAATTGGTTTTTAGTCATCTGAACGCGGGCGGAGCCGCAGGCAATGCTAGTAATGAATATAAATTGAAAAAAAAACAGCTTGTGACAATGTGTAAATCTAAATTTAGTATTCAATTTCTTTATACGAATCAAATGTTTTGGGGAAATATATTTTGCTATAGACAATAAAAAGCGAAATCACGTTCCAATCGCACCTACAGAGAACATCAAAATATACTGTATCTGAAGAATGTACAGTACACCACACAAGTACAATATGCATTGAAGAAATCATCTTAAAGCATGAAAATAGAGAGTACAATTCTGTAAAATGTACATTTCTTTGGGCGTCTGTACATTTTCTTGCAATTCGCACAAAGTTGGCTGATAAAGAAACAATTTGTATTCAATAAGCCTCGTGAGGGTGTAAGTATCGTAGCCTTTGGAGTTTTTACTTCACTATTCCTTTACTTTCGCACTGAAATTGTAAGGAAACGGGTAGAATAATCCTGTGTCCTATATTGAGTTAGGTATAAAATTTTATCTCAAAAAAGTTTCGCATTCATTTCTAGTTGAATTGTTAGGTTTATAGACTTATTTATTTTGGTTAAGAAAAAAGAAGAATAGATGTCATATTTCTAGTATACTTTAGTAGTATATAATAAAGCATGATTTTCAATTAAATATTATTAAAATTTTCTAATAAATTGAAAAATAACAAAAATAGTTGTTACTTAGCAAAGAAATTGGATGCATTTTTTATTCTGTGGTCTGTTGTTGTCACTATACATGTATAGTGAGGAAAAATATAATAAGACCGTGCATACTCCGGAAAAGATAAAAAGAATTCTAATGTAGAGGTAAGAAAAAAATTTTTTTTTAACCTTTACAAAAACATATACATACGTTACCAAAATTGCGAAACCAAACATACATACTAAAGACTGTTTTACCGCCATCATTCTCACTATAATAATATTACTATAAAAATTAGTCCTTTTCAGTTTAAATAACGCAAAGATAATGCGGATCCACGTAAAAGCTTTAAACTGAAAGCTCTAACGCGTCGTGCTTAGCATTCGAAGCTCGATCACGCTCATATGCAGCTGCACGCAAAGTTTAACCATTTGCTATCCTAAGTTCCCTATACTTGGTGACTATAATGGAACTCATATCTTACTTTATGGATAATTTAACGAAACTAAGTTAAATGTCTATTTTCCTATATACATACGAATTCTCTCGCGATATACATACATATTAATATATAGAACATTGATTCGATGTTCCTCTAATATATTTATATACATATGATAGAAATCAAATTATCTGAGAATCGAACGCCATATTTTTGGTAGATTTTAGAGCTTAATGTTAAGTGTTGACATATCGCCAAGACAAATGACTGTCAAATTAAAACAAATTTCACAGATCATGTTTAAAACAAACTATACCTACTTATACATATTTTCATAAATAATATAATAAAATAATATTATTTTATAATTCTTTTTAGAATTTTATTAGTTTTCTTAAAAAACAATTTGGAGGCGCCGGGTATCGATCCCGGTACCTCTCGCATGCTAAGCGAGCGCTCTACCATCTGAGCTACGCCCCCTGTTAGTTTACATTGCTATAATTGAATTGCATTGCAAGTTTCTTTAATATTTTACTCACTCAACTGTAAGTGTTGCGTAAAAGATTTTCAAGTAAAAAAATAAATAAAAACAAAGTACAAATACTCAATAATGTCCTAGCATGCAAAATCTTACTATCTTAATCTTACTACAAACTCTTAAAATCTTTTCCTACGGAAGGTCACAATAACCTATCCCTGCGTGATTTTCTTTACTAGAGATAGATTTGTGACATATGCTTCATACAAGTCATGTCGTATCTCTAGGAATAATAAACATGGAAAGATAGCTTATTGAGATCCACCGTCAGAAGTCAGACTGAGTGACGAATAAAATTGACTGACTGACTGACTGACAAAGTAACTATAGTTTAGAACTATACGACATACTTGGCTATATAAAATAGCTACTTCCTTCCTAAATGCTAGAAACTCCAAAAGTGCTCGTGACAAATAAAATTGAATAAAACACGAATAATTTTTAACATTCCGTCTAGACGACAATTTAGATGACTAACAACCTTTGTTTCTACACAAACTGGGTTACGAATCACACAAATTGCCACACGACCACAATTCACTTAAACGAAAATTCAAGAACATAAATTCTCGCCCTACCCGGCATTCTAAAAATTCATAATGTCACAAAGAAAGTTTGATAATTCATCGAGAGCGTTCGGCGCGACTCTTGCAAAATACTGCAACTAATGTGTACTCCAAAAGAATTATAGCGACATATATCACAAAGTAAACGAGTTCACATTATACTTTCGCTTTGATAAATAGTGCGCGAGAAAATAAATGAGCTTATACGTACGTATTTATTGCTACGGAAATTTACACTCGCAATAAAACACTTATATGATCAAAAACCATGACAAAAATTTTAAAAAATTGCACTATGAGTAAGTAAAATCCTTTAGGAACTGAGGCAGTTGGGGTGGAAGATATTTTAAGGAATTCCAATCGTGACGTATGTTTTCTTTTGTATATCCCTCTTTTATTGGTGTTTTTATTAATTCAGAATCTTTAAATGTAATATGAATTTTTGATTCATGCGCCATATTTTCATATTCGTCGTGATATGGGCAAACTGCTTCACTAACGTGATAGCAATCATCAAAATCATGTTCTAATTTCGTTTCACGGCTATAATTGTTTATGTCTTCATGTAATAACTTCCTTTCATTATGATCTCTGAATAAACATTCACTTTCAATAGAATCGCATATGTTAAAACAATCAAAAATATTATCGATTCTTTTGTCTACACCACATTTCGTCGTGATAGAAGATTTCGTAGCCGTATGTTCATAAAACCATTTCTTTGATTTGTAGCAAATATTTTTACACACACATTTACTTTTATCACAGGAGCCATCTTCGAATTGAGCGTTACATGTAGTCGATATTGCTTTACAGCTACAAGGATCAACTTTGTCCAAAACGGTTTCTTTTGATAGCACTTTAACCGAATCGTCATTTAAAGAAACAAATATGTTGCCAGAAGGCGTAATTTTTAAAGAGCCGTAATGTTTTTTATTATTCCTTATAGTGTTTACATCAACAATTATAACACCGGAGGCGGTTACTCTTATAGGCATTTGCCCCTTGGAAGAACTGCTCACATAATGTTTCACGTTATTTATGAAAGCTTTTTTCGACTCTTTGCTTAGTACTAGAGTATATTCACCAGAACACATCTTCCTGAGAATGACTGAGGGATCTATCAGTAAATTATGATGATTGTGAATGTTAAACTTAACTTTTTCATACAAACTCGAATCACTATTTGATTTTATACTTATCATTTGTAATCTGTTTGAACTTTTATTGCTGTATATGCTTTTTCTTGTAGGCAGTTTTTTCAAGAGACGTTTTAATCCATGAGCAGATATTACAGACTTAGATTTGACTGAGTCTCTTTCGAGTGAAATGGCGATTTTAGATTTATCCGTGAATACTTGTAGGCTGCCAGATTCTGACCTTACTATAAGTGCGTCTTTGCCTGCATCTTCTTTCTTTCCATTTAAATCAAGTGTAAAATGTCCTGATGTAGTTTCCATAAGGTTAGCAAATTCCTTACAATTGTTTCCTTCATAACTTTTTATCATTTCTTTTTGATATTTTTCATGCTCTTTATCCAATAAAACTTTATATTGTCCCGAATTCTCTTCCTTTAATGCGAACAATGGCTCCCTATTATTATTAATGCCCAACACCTTGACCTTGTAAATTTTTCCGGTTTTTTGGTGTGTGTTCTTCTTACACGTACTTTCTATTTGTTTGGAAGTTTTTAGAAGGAATTTTGTTAAACTGCTACATGATAATCTTTTATTTTTACGACAATATCTTTTACATGAACTATCCTCTTTATTTGAAATATCCATAGACATATCTTCTGACGATGATTTCGTCACTTTTGGTGATACTTTCGTTAGTTTTGATAACGATTCTACCTCTTCCACTATCTCTTTTGTTGAAACAATTTTATCTTTAAGATAAATTTTGGTTGGCTGTTCGTCATCTGCATTAGAATCAATATTTTTCGATATTTTATGTTGTTTGTGATGTTTTTGAGGTGAATGATCTATTTTCTTATCAACATTAGGTGTTTCTTTTATTAAAGTAGGCTTACTTTCTTCTATAAGGGATACAGAAGTTTTTTGATCAAAAACTGAAGTGCACGTATTTTTATCACAAGTTTTATCTAATCCTGCTTTCACATATTTTGCATCTGTAATAATTTATTTTTATATTAAGAAACATATGAAATTTTGATAACAACAAATAAACGAATTTTGAATAAATATGGGAGCACAAAACAAATGAAAGCAGAATTTGTAGAAATCAAAAATATGTATAAATATCTAAAAGATTTACATCGCTATAGATATTTCACTTAGATTTCAAATAAAATCAATCAATCAAACAAACTAATTAATAGGTGACACAAATATAATTTATTATTTAAGACGGATAATAAATGAAATAAACGTAAATCTAATTTAAATAAAACCACCAAAATAAAACCAAATTTATTAAGATCCAGTTACATGATACATACAAATTTCATAGTTGCGAAATCAAAAGAAAAATCATCCACACTGTTTATTTGAGCACTTTCATACTATTAATTTAAAAATACTTTATTCACATCGGTTTCAAGTTAACAGAGTTGCTGCTAATCATCGTAAAGCTCACTTTCTCTATGGGCGCTACATCCGTGTACCTACCCATGACTTCTTCTATCATTCTATCACGTGGTAGTTTTCTAATATCTAAAATTATTATAAATATATCTTAAATAAAACTATCTTTTCGGATATTTAAATATTATATTAGGAAAACTAAAAAATCCGAAAATCATATAACAGTATCTCTTTAATTTTGTACTCCCATATCATATGTTATAGAATATACAAAATAATCTTACCTTTCTTACAAACACATGTTTCTGTCTCGTAGGAGCCACATTTGCATGTAGTATTCTAAAAAAAAAATATTTTATGTATGGTTCGCATTAATATGAAGAAAATTTATGAATTAATATAAAAAAAAACATTTAATTAGTTAATCTTTCTAAGAATGACTTAGATTCAAAAATACAATTCTAGATATATTGATAACTATAGTTTTACTTATATAGTGCTTTAAGCTCAAAAAAGTATGTTAGTAATATAAATAAATACAAATAAATATAATACTTAAGACTTTTTAATAGGGGTTTATATTTTATACATTTATATACACATATATAAAAATACTATGTATACCTGATCTCCAAGTATTTTAGTTCCTAATAAAGGAGAAGTAGCTTCAGGTCCGAGAACACATTGCACTGCTCGCATGTTTTTAAATTGGCAAGTTGGCTCTATAATAAATATAAGGAAAACTTTATAAAAATAATTACATAACTAATTAATGAAAAGTTAAAGATAGAAGTAAGATAGTAATAAGAATCAAATATGTAAATCTGCTGTTAACATTTAATAGTACTCCAATACTTCCACATAACATACAAACAGTACATTTAGGTATTGTATTAAGCCCTTTTTTAACGTCCCACTGCTGGGCGCGGGCTTCCCTTCACTACGAGGGGGATCAGGCCATAGTCCACCACGCTGGCCAAGTGCAGACGGACTGAGCCTGTCATTCGAAAACTTGCTAGGTTCTCTCAGACATGCAGATTTCCTCACGATGTTTTCCTTCGCCGAAAGACAAGTGGTAATCATGTTGGAAAGGAAATGCACATGAGAATATCAGAAGAATGAGACCTGGGATTTGAACTCGCTTCACTTGGTTTCCTAAGCGAGATCATTACCTACTATTACAAGATTACCACAGCCCTAAAAGTTTTTAGCCTTCATAGATATTCATAGATAAATAAGCAAAGTCTAACCCTGGTAAGTGACAAATTACAATACAGTACTTTTAAATAAAACTATCTGTTCGGATTTTTCGTGGATTGATTTTGATTTTTGGTTACCGACGTTTCGACACGTCAATAACAAGACGTCTAAAACCTCTCCTGTCACCATGATTGCTGTAAAGTATTCGAAGCGTCGGGAACCAAAAACCAAAGTAAATGCGCGAAAAAGATAGTTTTATTTAAAATGTCAAATGTTCGCTTAAATCTAAGAAAGTATTACAATATAGTACATTAAAAGCAATATAATGAGACTTCTACCCCCCCTCCCCCCCCCCTCCCCCTTTTCACATCCTTAAAGAATGATTTTCGGGATAAAACTATCATATGTCTTTCCCAGAATCTCAAACTATCTTTATACTAAATATCATCTAAATCTGTTTAGCGGATGTAAGCAATATCTAACCCTGGCAAGGGTCTGGCCGCCATTGCGCGACTTCAAACCCGACCGCGCTGGGCGTTCTCATGGCGCAGTCGACGCCGAACGCCGTCGACTCCTTGTGCGGGCACGACACCACTTCACCCTGACACCATACGTTTGTGTTATATAGGTATTACTAGCAACTTACCTTCGCTTCTCTCGGGTTCGTCCCTATTTACAATTTAACACTTAGTATAGATTTCTCAGAGATGAGATAGTTTCCCGCAGTAAAAAGTATCTTATATGTTGACCCGGATAACCAGCTATCATCATATCAAATTTCATCAAAATCCCTCCAGTGATTTTTCCGCGATGCGGTAACAAATAGACAAACAAAAATTCTAAAAACTATAGATTCGGCCTCTGTATTGTTAATAATGTCCATTTTACTAAGATTTTCGAAAAAATATTTAATAAACAGATTCGGCTTCGTTACAATTTTATTATATATATGTTTAGATTAACGGTTATATACTATACTAATAACAAATACTCTTTATTGTACAGTGTACACCCACAAAAGTAAACAAACACAGTACAACAAAGAAAAATAGAATGAGAACTATGTACAACAGGCGGCTTTATCGCTAAAACAGCAATCTCTTCCCGGCAACCTTTAGGTTTTGGAATTGAAAATAATTTAACCCCATATCAAAGTAATGTCAATAGAAATTTGCTAGGAATTACACTGTCACGCTGATGTGGCTGGATGGATTTGGATAAAATTTAGTACATTCAACACTGATAGATTATATCCTGGAGTAACACACAGCACACCTAGGAATATATCCAAACAAAGGCTAAATCAGTAGTAGATACATACACAAAATATTGTACGGTAGTTCAAACTTGCGCACCGTCAGCATCAAAGAGTGGGATCTACAGATCAGTATTTAAAATGTGTCGCTATCTATTGAGTAACAGTGTTTCATATTATTCTCGAATGGTTATTATGTTAATATTGTGCTTATTTATTAAAAATAATACTTTGTATTGAAAAGTGTTTTTTTTCTGAGCCATTTCCTTTTAGTATACAAAAAGTATATACAAAATCATACCGTATCTTCCTTATATTTCTCAGGCGGACCACTCGTAGGTTCTTTTATTAGCGGCAAAGCTTTGTTAGTACAGACGCATTGCTTTGGTCCGTTTGGACAGTTACACTCGCTCGTGCCGCCCCAACGCTGACATGGCTCCTTCAAATTAAATTTCTTTTTTTATTATTTGATGACACGTTTGGCTCGGTTTGTAGTGACTAGTGACCTTACATGCTGTGCCAGTGGTCGCGGGTTCTTGTCCCGCTGGGGGCATTCATTTGTGCGATGACCAGTCATGGTTATTTATATTTATAATATGTATATATTTAAAGTTATATGTGTGTAATGTGTAGTGTATCAACTATCTAGTATCCATAATACAAAGCTCGTAGCTTACCATGGAACTAGATCGTGTTGTGTGTTAATGTCACAACATATTTATTTACTCATTTATTATATTATACTAATTACTTGACACATAAAAACAGACTGAAAATCCTGTAATGTATAAACTAAAACCTTAAACAATGAGAATGCTTCCATCTTTAAGTATGAAACATTTTCTTCAAAATTAAATATTCTTACCACTAAGCCACATATAAAATGTTATTTATTCAATAAAAAATAAACAATAAAAAAGAACAATTATTAAACATGCATGTTTACATATGTAGGTATGTATGTATGTACGACACGAGTAAGGAGCCAAATCCGCTATCTTTGATAGAAATATTCATTTTTTCCCGATTTCAAATGCTTTCTGATCTTTTCTGAATGCTTGATTTCTTTGCTTTCAAAACAGCAACAGCAATCATATCCAGTTAATAGTAAGTATTATTGAAAAAAATATTTCTTTAAATCTCCTGCCTTTGGCTCAGAAGAATGAATAAGTAGTATCTAAATCAATAAACAAATCGTTATTTCAAAGAAATTAATAATTAATTTAGATAATATAACACCTTTTTAGTATCAGTTCCTTGGTCGGCCTTCACCGGTTTATTCACTTTAACTTGTTTCAGACAAAGCATCAGTTGCTCGTAGGTTTCCTTATCCATCTAAATATAAATCAAATCAAAATATACTTTATTCAAATAGACATTCACAGGCACTTTTGAATCGTCAATTATACGTTTTAAATTCAAATTAAATTAAATGTCAGCGTAGTCAGTCCGTGGGGAATCTATCACCGGCTCGGAAGGCAGTTCTGCTGAGAAGAGCCGGCGAGAAACTCAACAGTAAAAGTTCACCAAATACTTATAATTATCACTTAAATAGTAATTCCTAAACTGATTTACTAAAATCTTCAAAGACTTCGAAACTTAAAAAAACTCATTATAATGAATTTAATGTAAGTATCTAAAAATCTATCGATAATATACTCGTAGATTTTAACGAATCACATGACACATGAAGAATTATTGTAAATAATAAGTTATCTAACTTAACCAATTAAAATATACATAAATAACTAGCGACTCACCCTCGATTCGTTCAAGGTTCGTCCCTAGGTCATCGTTATAGGTCCATTTTCTGCCCCTTAAGGGATGATTTCCGGGATAAAAATTATGCTATGTCCTTTCCAAGGTCTCAAACTATCTTTTTACTAAATTTCATCTAAATCGGTTCATAGTTACGGAGCTTATTCGGTACAAACAATCGAACAAAAGAATCTTTCCTCTTTACATTATAATGAAACACATACAAATCTATACTACATTTAGTATAGATAAATTAATCTAGAAGCCATAGAACATGAGAATTGAATTGATAAATTAGTAGTACTTTTACGGCAAACATTCATACAAACAAAAATGATGCGTTACATTTCAAACATAAACAAATGGCTTTTATTTTAATATTTAAGGTTCTAATATAGACCTTCTACTGATGATTGTCATTATTATTATACACCACACATCACTCACGTGATGGCTACATCGATAATAAATTGCATTAATTAGGCGCTTTTTAACTCTAACTTCTTGAGCTTTCAGTATAAAATAGCAACAAAACACACAAACACACAAGCACACACACGCACACGCACGCACGCGCACGCACACACATTCACATTTTTTTTAAATACTCTGAAGCAATTTAGATATCACTAACCTCACATCTAGTCTTTAAAGCACCACCAATGACCGTCAACCTCAAATTTTTCTTAATCGTCGTCAATATGAAGTCTTGCAAAATCTTCTTTGTCTCACAATTGATTTTACCGTTCCTACTTTTCTTTAGGCAATTCAATACGGCCTCAGCGACAGCTTTGCCTGGCCCCGTTTTGATTTGCCTTTCCAATATCGAGTACATATTATCAAACACATTATCTAAAAACTTCTGTTTGACAGACGTACATACACAATCTAAGGAATAATCGGGAATACATTTATTATTTTCATACAAACAATCTCTCTCCGAAATACATCTTGGACAGTCTGTACAAAATTTTCTAATATCCACTGTATCGGTGCATTCGTGACATTGTATACATTTAACTTTGTTTGCAGCTATCTCTTTATCTAGAGCTTTTATTTCATCTTTTATATTGTCTTCTTTGTGTTTACATTTATCTTTGCATTGATCGGCTGATTCTTTTAGTAAATCAACTTCCAAAAGTAAAGCTTCTCTCTATGAAATATTATTTAATTTACTTAAAATTAGTGAAACTAAATAAAATGTATGTACTAGGAATAATATTACAAAATTTATATTTCATATGTTGTAAAAGTTCTAAATTCAAATTAAAAAAAAACCAAAGCTTCATCATCAGTATCTACATATTTTTGGCCGTCTTTGCAAAAATGAGTTATCTATCGCTAGCAGAAAACGTTAAAATTAAAGATATAAATTTACAACAATCGAATAGAATTATTTATCTATGGCGCCCATATTACTTCACGATGGACAAGTAAAATGAAGATACTCGTACGAGAGAGATTGGTATTCAATTTGACGAGTTCCATCTTATATTTGATTAAAAGCATCTTATTGCGATATATTAAAGCTCTAAATATAGCGTTTCTATTAACGATATCGATAGTAGAAAGTCAAATAAAGAAATTAACTACTAAACTAGCTATTTATTCCTTCTATGTCTCAATAAACACTAGCCTCAGCCGCCATGTCTTCATTTTCGAGTTTCAATTGTAACAATACTTTACACAGTTTCTGTAAATCGTCTCGAGCTTCTTTGACATATTTAGTACCTTCTTGCTCTTTTGTTTTTTTATATTCATATTCTTGTTTTAAAATTTTCTCCAAATTAGTAGCTTCTCTTACTATTTTGGCAATTTTAGCCTAAAATCGGACTGCTGTTATATATTTTAAAGTTTGCATGTACGTATGTTTGTTACTACTTGATATTAGAATGCCTGAACGGATTTGAATAAAATTTAGCACAGATGACCTGGAGCAAACAGGTACTCAAGAAAGCGAGGGTAAGTCGCTTGTATATAATACATATGATAAAATTGTAACCAAGCCGAATCTGAACATTACTTACTAGTATAGTAGTGGAGGGATTAATGCTGAATAAAATATTTTGAATTTGAGTGTACTTTTTTTATTAAAAGACAAATTATCCCTTTAACGTGCTAATATATCCCATAATTAAATAAAGTAACTAAACTAAACTTACATCTGAAGCTTTTTTTTTATTGTCGAGCGATTTCTTAGAAACTTCGACATCTTTCTTATTACTTTCGATGTGAGTTTTAAAGTTACTAATCTCCATATCAATACATTTAATATCACTCTGTTTTTCGTTTATTTTCTGTTTTATTTCTTGATGACATTTAGATATATGATCCATTTGGAAATCTAAATCTTTTTTGTTCTTCCGCCATTTTATACTGCTAGCTTCTGCTTCTTTAAGCTAGAATTTTGTGCTTTAATAAAAAATAGTTACAATAAACTTGTCTAGTTAAAACTTCCTTTTATTTATCAACTGGAGTTTTGATGAATAAATTAATTAAGACTTATTTTATTTTGAAATAAAACTATATTTTCGGAATTTTTGCAGATTTATTTTGATTTTTGGTTACTGATTACACTTTTTTAAACTTACTCTGCGAAATTAAAAAAACGCTTTAAAGAAAGGTTAAACTACCTACCTGTTTTAGCAAGTTTTTCTGCCTTTCCATAGATTCCGCTATTTTCTTCTTATATCTCTCTTCCATACACGACCACATACAGTCCGCTTCTTTAAGCTTTTGAACACTATCTTTTTCCCGTTCTTCCAACACTTGAATTTGTTGTTGCAACTGCTTCTGTCTTTCTAATAAATCGTGCACTTTCACATGGCATTTTTTCTCGAATGATGCAACCTTTGCAAACAAACATTATGGTATCTAATCTTGAGTAAGTAAGCCTTTTATTGTAGAAAATTTGACGAAAAAATTTTTGAAATTCATTAATATAGTTTGTAAGAAGTGGTATCGCAGTGGTGACGCGTTTGCTTGAGAAATCAAGTGAAGCGGGTTCAAATCCCGGGTCTTGCACCCCTGATATTTTTATTTGTGAATCATTTCTAATATTATTACGGTGAAGTGACATCGTGTGAAAACCTGCATGTCTGAGAGAACCTAGAAGTGTTCGAAAGACATCTGCAGTCCGCCCACACTTGGCCAACGTGGTGGACTATGGCCTGATCGCCCTCGTGTTAAACAGAGGTCTGTGCCCAGCAGTGAAACGTTAAATAAGGTTGAATACAAAAAAATATCTACTAATATATATTTACCTCTTTCAAATTGCAAAGCACATTATTCAGTGGCAATGATTCATTTGCTTGCTGCGATGAATTAGATTTGGCACTATCCGTATTTTGTCTACCGCATGTACTATTATAAAAAAAGAGACATATAATATATAAATATATTAAAAATGATAAAATTTTACTTATTATTTATGACAGCTTTAAAAAGCTTTAAAAAACGCATAAAATTCTCGCTATGTATATAACCTAGCTACTCCTAGTTATGTAGGTATCTAAGAATGTAGCGATTGATTAATTATCATTCATGTACGTATCTTAAGATAACAGTAAACAGAGATATCTAAGTTTACTGTTTCGGTAAGTTAGTTCTATGTATTTGTTCAGCGATATTTACACGATTTAACAAAGTCTATACATACCTATAATAAAATTGAGTCGAACCTTTACATTAAATATCTATTTTTTGAAAAATCTTATTAAAATAGTTATTATTATCGATACAGCGGCCGAATATATAGTTTTTAGAATTTTTGTCTGTCTGTCTGTCTATGTCTGAGAACGCATCACGAGAAAATATCTCAATTCTGAGAAATCTATACTAAACGTTAAAAACGTAACGTTTAGTATAGATAGAGAACGTAAAATGATAAAAACTAACTGTTTTGGTTTAGATTCCTGTTTCTTGTCTTCATTTCTATTACAACATCCTGCCATATAACAGCTTACTTGCTGATGTCCAAACTTACTATTGCTGTGTGTATTCATCCCCATACGTTGTTGAACAGCCTGCTAGTAAGAGGGAAATACCCTAAATAATACTTAGTTTATATTTTGATGATATTAACAAAAAAAATCTATGGCAATGTGTCACTTTAACAAACTACGCCTTTCCTAAAATATGACTTACATTACGTTTTTAATAATGTATTTATAAATAAAATACGTAAATTTTGTTCTAAAAATCTTGCTAACTATCTGTTGTCAGCAATTATTTACATTTCCTAGCATAATTTTAATAACGAAATTGATGGTGTAAGAATGCCTACTTCCAATTTCATAGGAACTTTCACGTATCACTAACTTCATAAAGAATTGATTTCACGAAAGAAAATAATTTGGAAAATTGTACTACGAGTATGTGTTCATTCAATTAGTTAGTTGGCATAAATAATAAATTTTGATCGTTTTGAAATACAACGCGAAACTAATGACGCGAATGCATATTGGCTGAATGGACGTGCATTGTGTTCTGATTTGACTCTAATGGATCTCACAATATTAATTAGGTAACGAAATAAGCTTTATGGTGATTGAAACTATTTTAATGAATTCTGTAATGAAAAATTGTTTTATTTTTTTTGTATCTATATGGAAAAATTCGGCTTCAACTTGGCTAATTTAATTATAACTAAAGTGGTTTTTACATGGCAATTATTTATGCAGAAATTGCAAATTCAATTGATTTTATATTTAAATAATCGATTTTCGTCGAATAACATATCAATATCATGCCGACGGCAGTAATCGACTGTAAATTACGCCCATGCGGTGATCAAACTCGCAACTTTAGACAAAGTAGTCAAATTATTATAAAAAAACTTAAAAGTCTCTTTAAAGTTTTTTTATAAGTAATAATAAATAATTTGGACGTATTTACGCAAAATAGATCCAACCACAAAAACTTGTATTCAGCCCTTTTTAACGTCCCACTGCTGGGCACGGGCCACCGTACGAGAGGGATCAGGCCATAGTCCACCACGCTGGCTGTTTGTCGCGGACCCATTGACGAATACTTACTTTTGAGAAAATAGGAGTTTTAGTAAAATTATTATATCAAGGCCGTTTTTTTTTTGAAATTACTCGTAAATATTGGGTATTTTATCTACTTTCTGTATATAAGTTGATATGAAGGTGCTATTTATGACAGTAACTCAAAAAACGGTTAACGTGGGCCAAATCCATTTTGCATAACTACGTCCATTTCAATGTAAAATAAATTAGTTTTTGCTGAAATAGCTACAAGTGTATGTGCATTGTGCAGTATAAAACGTAATGTGTATTGAAAATCGGAAAATAATCGTTCGTTTACGATAAAATGTTTATTTAACCATTCGACCCGCAGTTCCTTGACTAGTCATGCGTGATATCGCGTAACATATCGTTGCAATTAATTGATTAATTATTTATTGTGCCTATTTTTTGCATTTCCACATTCTCTTTAAAATTATTGAATAACCAAAACTTTTATGATTATAATAATAATATTATGAGTTATAGAAATAAAAGAAAGTTTTTCGTACTAAATATTAATAACTAGTAAAAAAACGGGTAAGTGAGAGTCTGATTCTCATACCGAGATACCCGAAGTCCTGAGTAAAACGGCGGCTGTGACATAGGGACAGAGGGGCATGACAAAATTAAAATGATTCCGTTTATACCTTTTGGCTTCATTGTCTTTAAAAGGAATGTTGATCTAACTGGTAGCATAAATGGATCAGCTTTATTGAGTATCTAGTACAAAAGTTAATTATTCTGATAAAAGTTAGTAATGCCACAGATTATTCAAAAATTGTCAATGCACCATAATTTGTTACAAAACAGCTCTATTATAGTCCTTGCATACGCTCTTAATTCAATAATATACCTATTTGAATATGTTATTGAGGCACTATGTAATGTAAAATAAATCATATAGGTACATTTGATACTCTAAAAATATGCAGACATAACAAAAAGATGATTGACTTACTGTCAAATCAACATTCGGATCCTCTTTGAGTATATTCCAAAAATCGCACATAAGTTTGATGCCAGGATCGTCACTTGAGCAGTGGTTGGAATATTTCTGTGTACTTATTTCTTTAATTAGTTCGTCGAGAGCTTTGTAACGACGATTTAAACATTCTGGTACATCTCGCATTTTTTTCTAATAAATGCATATGTATTATTATTTATTATGTACCTTCTTACTTGATTTTATGAAATTATTAAGCAATGGAACTAATCTATACAGTATGTAAATTATAATACTATACACGTCTTATTCACTACCTTTTTATTATTACTCTTATTAGTCTTATTCACTATCTAATAAATTAGTAATCGTTGAAGACAACTGCACAACCAATTCTGAAAGAAACGAACAAACACCAATAATAATTAAATTTATGTATAGGCAAATCAAGTAATAACTTCTACCAAACTACAAACATTAAGAGATATTATATATGTACTTACTTAATTTTTTAAATATGATTAATAACAAATATCTAATAGCTTATTATTTGTATTCATAAATTTTATCATGGTCAATGATCACAGTGGTTTATGTTGATTTGGTACTTTCTGCGACTGCAATTTTGGCGTGCTGATTTTGAAGAAAGATTTTTGACAAAATGCCGCCAAAAATAGAATCATATTGGCCAGTAACATTATTTAATTTTTATGTAATGAATGAATTAACTTTTGTAAACACTAAAACATAATTTTAATATACCGTGTATGTATTGTTAGGTATATAATATTACAATATTTTATATAAAGGATTTCAAGTTCACTTATTTTACATTAAGCTTTTAATGTTTGTTTCTAAACGAAATAATATACTTCCATTTATCATCAAGGCAATGTACTTTTGATGTTTAATATCGATTCTAATAATTAGGATTGGTGAATAGGTTTATAGTAAACTTTAAACTGGTGTATTTTACCAAAACTAAAATACATAAATTACCTTTAAGTTTGTTAATGATTTCTTGATGAACAATAATCATGTTAATTTGAGTTAATATGTACTCTTTTTTGTTTAAAATATATTCATTTTAATTTTTAAATCGATATTTAAACGATACCGATACGATTTTATCGATTAAATGTCAAATATATATGACAATTGACAAGTGACAACTTTTTACATGTAGCAATATACTCTATGGAAACAACTGACATCTGAAGTTTGTTTTGTACATTTGTTTTGAATTTTCTTATTTTGTTGATTTTTGTATGTTAAATAAGAAAACAGATAAGCATTATCGCTTATATTAAATAACGTAGAGATAACATTATTTGTTACAAGAATCGTTAGTAGTTAGAGCTCAGAGAATTTTCTACAATGACAGAATTTGGTCCCGTAAGTTAAAAATTAAGAATTACCTACTTTGTTTTATATTTTTATCCTGTAAAGATAGTTCTTATTACATTGTTTTTATAAATAATAAAATATGAGTGGGTTTTAATGAAAAGACTATTATATTTTTACCTCCATTTTTGCATACAAATTAATCCATATGATTGCAATATAAATATTTTTATGAGGTTTTAAAGGAGTGTTGATTTCCTCAAAAATAATAACATTATAAAATATAATTTGATTATATTACAAATGACTTTTTATCAAATTACTTACTTATTATTTATTACAAATGATTTTTTACAAGTATTATTCCTAAATATTGCAAGACCTCAACTTAACATGGATATTAAACTATGTTGAATTTTATGAGTTTTTTTTTAGATTATTAGTATAAAATTTATCTACTGCGGTCACTACAACAGATGAAATTATAAAAACTGAAAGTTCAATGTGATAAAATCATATATTGGATGGGAGTATATATGTGTAGGGGAGTATAGATGTAAAAACCATGTTTTGTTTAATGCAAATAATAATATGACATTTGATAGTTTACTCTATCAGATATAGTTATTTAACATAACTTATATGTTTCTATATCTTGTTGGTAAACCAAGGTTAATAAAATCTATTACACAGGAACACCCGAGGAACTTAATACCTGAACTGTGCAATCAGTTTTATCACTTAGGATGGGTTACGGGGACAGGTGGAGGAATATCTATCAGAGAAGGGTAAGTTTGAATAAATATTTATCATCTGTTGATTTTTTTTCCTTTACACATATAAAAGAATTGATTATTGATAAAAATTGGTTTTCCACACAATATGACAATATATAAGCTTTAAGTAATTATAACCTCATCAACAAGCAAATACTATTTTTAATATGTAGTTTTTAAGCACATTCCCCATTAATTTGAAAATTACCTTTTAATTTCACATTTTATTTCTCATTTTCATTATTTAATATAAGCAATACTGATTTATATTTTTTCTAATATAAGCAGTAAATAATTAACACAGTGGTTTTCTTATTCCAGTGACAAAATATATATAGCGCCATCTGGTGTACAAAAGGAGAGAATGAAACCGGATGATCTGTTTGTACAGAGTATAAATGATGTGGACTTAGAACTGCCGCCTCCGGAAAAAAAGTAATTAATTACATAAATGTGGAATTTTACCTTGCATTAGTCTATTTTGTTAATTATAAAGGCATATTAAAGTACACTTAGTGAAGAGTCTAGCTGGATAATTATAATTCTGATGGAAAACTTCTATCAATAAGTGTGTTGATGTTTAATGGGATCTATAAGGAGATAATATAATTCTCATTTTTTGATGAAACATAAAATTGACAGTTTAATAGATGTTTATAATTTCGTAATACATTGTTTTCATATAACTCTATTGGTTTATGCGGTTTACACCATTTTATTATATATAATAAAATTCAACCCCTCACTATAGTGAGGGGTTGAATTTTTTTTAAGTTTTAAGATGTTAATAGTTGCTGAATTTTATGCTTTCAAAGCTTTAAATGCTATCTCACCATGCAAAATTTAAACTGTGCCTATTAAAATGTGCCCGCTTGTATGTTTAACTAAATAAATAATAATTGACTGTTTCGAACAAAAACGATGCATTTGTTACATTGCGTTATAGACAAACACATAAGAGTTATTTTTGTATTTATAATATTTATTAGTATGGACAGGGGGTCTCATCATAAACAAAGAAAAATTAGTTTAAATAAATGTCTATAGATGACGTTACATGTATCGATTTGTTATTGAAGTTGTGTTAAATTAACAAAATGTAAAAAGGTAAATTCTAAAAATATGTATCATTGTTTTAAAAAAATTTGAAATGAAACGAAATAATACGCCCGTAAATCAAATTTGTGTAATATTACTGATTATTGAAATATCAGCAATCGGATGATGGGTTTGTAGAGTCGTAGCGTATATTCACAGATGTCGCTTTTACTTTTTACGAATTACGGTTAAAAATGGTTAAAATCACAGTTTTTTAATTCGAATGCAGGATGAATTTAACAATATTTACCATTCGTTAGTTTGCACATATTTATAAAATAAACCCGTTTAACTATTTGCGAATGAACACATCTATTATTTATACAAGCAAACAAAAATAGCTCGAATTAACGCTGTCCAATTTCTTTGTATGGGATGAGACATCTGTACTAGTATAGTATTATGTGATCTGTGGTATGGATTTGATATTAATATGAAATGCCCAGATTAAAGAAAAGCCAGTGCACTCCGCTATTCATGCTGGCCTATAAACATCGCGGCGCGGGCGCCGTCATACACACGCACTCCCCGCACGCGGTGCGTGTCACATTACTGTACGGAGATGTGTTCGAAATCACCCACCAGGAGATGATAAAGGTGGGTTTGTGTTTTACGCATCGATCAATAAGGAACTAGATACACAATCCCATGCAAAAGTTCTTATAAAACTGTCACCGATTGTGTTTAGGTAATAATTCATTATATGACGAAACGTTTCGCTCAGTTTGTAGTGACCCTACTTGCTGTGCCAGCGGTCTCGGGCTCGAGTCCCGCTGGGAGCATTCATTTGTGTGATGAGCATGAATGTTTGTACTCCAGTCGTGGGTGTTTATATTTATGTATAATATGTATGTATTTAAAGTTATATATGTGTAGTGTATCAACTACCTGGTATTATTAGCACAAGCCGTAGCTTATAATGCAATGCAATTCGTAGCTTACAATGGAACTAGATGGTGATGTATGTAATTGATGTCCCGACCTATTTATTTTTATTTATTTATTTTATTTATTTATTTATGTACCATAAAATATACGTTATACAAAATAAAATAACAACATGTTGACAAAGGATAACTTATCTCTTTAAGAGATTTCTTCCAGAAACCCTTCAGAAGTGAGAAAATAAGTTAATATAGTGCGGTGTAGGTACAGTACAGCATTAAATGGAATTGTCTTAATATTAAAATACATATATTAACTAAATATTATGATTATACAAATATATATATACACATACATATATATATACACATATACATACATACAAACATATATATACTTACATATAAATACATACTTATCTACCATAATTTATGTCTGATTTGATAAATAGTACTGTTTAATTCTAAACTTAAATGTAGTGAATGAGGGATCATCTTTGAAAATATAATCAGGCAGTGAATTCCACAAAGTTGCTGCCGTAACAGAAAAAGATTTTTTTATAGAATGTAGTATTGTAGTGAGGAACCACTAATTTGGGCAAATTGACACAAGAACGCACTGGTCTGCATCTAGGGGACACTAATGTGAAGCGTTCACTTAAGTAAGAAGGTGTAGAAGTCTTCAAAATATTGTAAAGCACACATAATACACGAACGTTTCGGCGAAAACGAATAGGGAGCCACTTCAGTTGCCGTCGGAAAATACTTATATGATCAAATTTGTGCAATCCATATATAAAACGGATGCACAAATTCTGAAGGCGATCTAGCTTGTCGAGTAGCTCCTCGGTTGCATCTAGATAGCAAACGTCGGCATATTCGAGTAGAGGGATTAGCAGTGATTGAGCTAGGGTAATTTTAGTTTGAAACGGAAGAAAATTCTGTAAACGTTTCAAGGAATGAAGTGAATAATGTACGCGCTTACTGACCTCGTTGACATGCGCAGCCCAGGACAGGTTGCAGTCGATTGTTAAACCTAAGTTTTTACACGTGTCTGAGAAATTGATGCAAGTGTTATCGTAGATGATGTCAGGCAGATTGTTGAAGTCGATTTTGTTCCGCAACTGCTTACTACCAATGATCATGGCCTGAGACTTAATTGGATTGACAAGGAGTCCGAAAGACTTTGCCCAATCTTTGATTCTTGCCAAATCAAGGTTTATCCTGTCGATTTCAGACGCTAAGTCCCCGACCAAAGCATGTCTATAAAGTTGCAGATCATCCGCATATAGGTGGTAGTTAGAAGAGAGTACCTGTGGGAGTTGGTTAATGAAAATTGAAAAAAGCAATGGCGATAACACACCACCCTGAGGGACGCCTGCGAAGAGATTGGACCACTCTGATATAGTCTCGTCGCAGTAGATTCTCTGCTGGCGATCATAAAGATATGATTTAAACCAATCAATCACAGAAGACGAGAAGTTAAGGGAGGCAAGGATAGAAAGTAAAACATCAAAGTCCACTGAGTTGAAGGCATTACTTAAATCGAGCAAAATAAGAATAGTCACTTTCTTATTATCCATGGCGAAACGAATATCGTCAGTGACTTTTAGCAAAGCAGAAGTCGTACTGTGCGAAGGACGGAAGCCAGACTGAAAAGCATTTAATAGGTTATTTCGTAATAAGTACTGACACATCTGCTTAGATACTAAGCCCTCAAAAACTTTCGATAAAATGGGAAGAATTGAGATAGGACGAAACTGTGAGGGAACAATAGGATTGGCAGATTTAGGTAAGGGGATAACATGTGCTAACTTCCAAGCCGCGGGAAATGAGCTAGAAGACAATGAAAAATTAAAAATGTGAGTTAATATTTGGCAGATGTGATCAACTGTTACAAGCAGCATATCACGACTAATTTCATCACTCCCAACGGCTTTAGAAGTAGTAGAAAGAATGCCTCTCTTAACATCGTCCTCTGAGATCTCTTGAAAAACAAAAGGGTCACAGTTAGGTTGGTTAGTCATAGCAAGTTGATTAATAGTTAACGTCTTCTCGATATTAGAAATTTGAACTGGCGGAGTTGAAAAATGTTGATTCAAGCAATTGACATTGACGGACTCAAGAGACAAATGTTGTGATTTACCCACACCTAGCGACTTAAAAAACCTCCAAGTTTGAGCCGGTGTGCAATGTAAGATACAAGAGTGGATATGGCGGCTCTTAGCATCTCTGCACATCCTATTACAGAGATTACGCAACTTTTTATAGGCTGCAAAATTAGCCTCAGTAGGATATCGCTTATATTTGTTCTTAGCTTTATTGCGTTTCGCCATTATTTTTTTGATTGTTGTAGTTAGCCAAGGCGCCGGCAAGTGCTTTACTCTGATTGGAACAGCGGGAGCGTGAATGTCAAATAATTGTGTGATCTTGGAATTTAGTATTTGCAATTTTTCGTCTATGTTTGTGACATTGTATAATAAGGACCAATCTATGTTAACCAGGTCAGAGTAAAATTTCTCATAATCGATATTTTTGAGATTACGCCTCCAGATTATCTTGGCTTTTCGCCTAAGGAGTGACAAATTGTAACTGATGTATATGAGATCGTGATAGGAGAAGGGAGCAGTGAGTTGGCCGAAAGCAAGGATATTTTTAGGATTAGATACAATTATAAGATCGATGAGAGAAGGATTAGAGATAGGAGAGAAATGGGTTTCAGTAAGAGGAAGTATAGTCATATTTAGAGATTCTATTAAAGATTGGAGCTTATGTGATCGAGTATCTTGTTTGAGGAGACACGTATTAAGATCGCCCATTATAATGGTATGCTCATAAGAAGGTGTAAGAGATTCAAGGAGAGATTCCAACGTGCTAAAATAGTTAACGTTTATAGAGGGACTATAAAGTACACCAAGAAGAACTTTGGAGTGATGAGAAATAATTTCAAGAAAAAGGAATTCAAGGTTACAGTCATCAGTATTAGGGGATTGTTTTACTATGTTGTAATAGATGTTACTTTTGAGATATATGCAAACACCTCCTCCTCTTTTACAAGTGCGATCGTTCCTAATGAGGTTGAAATTAGGAAGAGAGAAAAGGGATGATGAAAGGGACGGTTTCAGCCATGATTCGGAAACTAAGATACCATCTATTTCAACGTTGCAAAAAGATGCCTGGAGATCAGAGTAATGAGCCGGAATACTTTGTGCGTTTATATGAACCAAGTTCAAAGAACCAGGATTTTTATTAAATATGCTATTAAGTTTGAAATCAAGACGCCCGGACTCGCTATCACAGGAAGCCAAACTAGAAGCACTAAGGAAGTCTTCATTTGAAGAACAAGAGAAGTAATCGTCGTCAAAGTTAAAAATACAATCACAATCAGACATAATAAATAAATAATATTAAATTAATTAAAAAAAAAATAAGTTCAAAAATAATAATAATAAGCTAATTAGAAAATAAATAAATTTTTAAAAGTATATCAAATTTTAAAAATAGATAAAAAATATTTTTTGTTTTACAATATATTTAAAACTAAATTAATAACAACAAAAAATGTATACTTTACAAAACTTAAACATAATAATTATCCTACATTAGCTGGCCTAACTTGTTTTTAACGAAACATCATAAAAAATAAAAATAAGAAAAATATTAATATATTTTTTTGTTCTAATGAACAAATATTTTAAGAATTTAAGCTATGTCATTTGATACATGTACAGTGTACTGCAAGTATCCGAATGCACGGTAATGACAGCTGAGGAAAACATTACAATATAAAAATATACACATAACTGGTTACCGCTACTGTTGTTCGTAATTGGTAAAAATTATAACAAGACTACTCAAGAAAAAAAAAAGTGAAACCTGATATATAATTATTTAACATAATCATTCGCGTAACCATTAAAAAAACACTTAATGGAGATTTTATAATGAATATTCTAAGGGAGTGTACATAGAACTAATAACCTAATGATGTGAAAACTTACAAGTACGGAGGCCAATGGAACACTAGTATCACTTCACTATATTTTTACCGGGTCTTCGGGATCTAGATGGTTTCGGATCTTGTGATGTTGTCGCAAGAGGATATTTAGCTATCAATAAATGCAGTTCAGCAAGTGATGCAACTTTCTTGCGGCTTTTATCTGGCAGCGCAATGGTGATTGAACCTTCATGTGACCAACAATATTTCATCCCAAAATGTTTTCTGGCAGCGACAAAAATTTCCTGCCTCGATTTCGTCAGAAACTCTGATAAGGTTATTCCGGAGCCCTTAAGAGCAGTCTTGGAGTTCCATATTAAGTGCCTGGATTTTAAGTTAGTGAAGCGAACTAAAATTGGTCTAGGTCTGTCTTTCTTTGTCCCGAGGCGATGGGAAAAGTCAATACTCGATGTATTAAAGTCAGCTAAATTCATCTTCTCAGCAATCACAGTAAGGACTTTACTCTCAGTCTGCTCATCAGAATCTTCAGGAAGCCCATGAAAGAGCAGGACCTTTCTTCGTGTCAGCATTTCATGCCTATCAAATCCAGCAGTGAGCAACTGCAGCTGTTGACGGAGCATAGATAAGGATTTCCACATTAAGTCCTTGAAGACCGTGTAATCAGCGGTAAGCGCAGAAATGTCACTTCCAGTGCTTGTGTTTTTAGTAGTAGTCTGACTTTGGACAAGAGACTTTTCAAAAACACTCATTCGAGACTCAAATAAAGCAACAATATCTTCCATGTTTTTTGACAGTTGAGTGTGTAGATCCATGGTATTGAAAATGGTAAATAAGATGTGAAAAATGTGAAAATATATATTTACCAGGTAATGTAGGACAAAAGAGTTAAATATTTAACATTACAAACTAATTTTTGCAATAAAAATATTAAAAAACTAAATTAAATAACAGGAGAAAATTTTTTGATGTAACTTCTATATCTACCCGCCCAAGAAAAAAGAAATTTATTTATTCTAGTTGAAATAAATATCAACAATCTAAATTGAATCTTAAATGCTGTTGCAAAAGTTGTTTTCACAAAAAAGAAATTAAATTGATAGCGCGGTCAAATGTTCAAATAAGCGCTCATTCGGTGAGGACATATTTTGTTGCTGATTTTGTATCTAGTACTTTTTTGATCGATGGTTTTACGCGACTGTGTAGAAAAGAGAATTGTATGTTTTTTGTGTATCATAAGTATCAGGTGATCATAAATGTTCAGGAATATATCTTTTATTAAATTCATATGCATTCTGTGCAGGCTTTTCTTCGATGACTTGATATTGTATGTTGCTTGATGTTTATGATATCCTAGTACTCGTAAAAAAATGTATGACCTAATTTATAAGCCAAAGGCACACAGCGAAAGGAACTTTGTTCATACCGTATGATTCACGACACCGACCGACTTTATTAATAGGTGACGTTATGCTTTCTCAGAGATGAGATATTTTCCCGCAGTAAAAAGTATCCTATATGTTGACCCGGATATCGAGCTATCATCTTGCCAAATTTCATCAAAATTCCTCCAGTGGTTTTTGTTGATACGGTCACAGACAGACAGACAGACAGGCAAAAATTCTAAAAACTATAATCGGCCTCTGTATCGATAATAATGTCTATTTCAATAAGATTTTGAAAAAAAAATTAATGTACAGATTCCGCTTAGTTACAATTTTATTATATGGACATATGTATTGTTATTGTTTCATTTCATTATTATTTCTTTTCTATATTATTATTATTATTTCAACAATCCAGGGTATAAAAGATGCGTCACTAAACCGCTACCTTCGTTACGATGAGAAGTTAATAGTTCCGATAATAGAGAACACGCCTTTCGAGAAGGATCTGGAAGGCAGTCTGTCCCGCGCGCTGCAACAGTACCCTGGCACGAGCGCCGTGCTGGTGCGCCGCCACGGCGTGTACGTGTGGGGGGACTGCTGGCAGCAGGCTAAGACTATGTAAGTATAGCATCCCACTGCTGGGCGTGGGCCTCCCTATAATGGGGGAATCGGGCCATAGTCCACCACACTGGCCAAATGGCGAGATGGTGAATTTCAAAATGGTCGCCATACAAATAGTTATTTTTATTTGTATGGCGGCCATTTTGAAATTCACTATAATATATTATTAGTAATATATTAGTTCATACTACATAGTGTTACATCTTGTACGATGGTTTGTGTGCGGACAGAACCATTTGTGTGCGAGTCCGACTCTCACTTGACCAGTTTTTAAAGTTTGTTATTGTTTTCAATTTGGGCTCTTTAAAGAAATGTGACACTACAGGTATTATATTGCTCACACTTTAACATTTATTTAATTAAATGTATTTTTGTCATGCCAAATTAAAAAAATATGAAAATGGTGAAGTTGGTATACCACAGATACTTCTATCCCCTTTCCTCTCATATTTTACGTTAAAATTTAATAAAATATTGTCATCATTTCACAGGACCGAATGCTATGACTATCTCTTTGAAATGGCGGTGGAAATGAAAAAGCTCGGTCTAGATCCTGCCTTGAATCCAGAAACCAAAGAAAATGGGAATAAATAGTTTAAAAAAAGAAATATATTTGCAATAAGTGAAATGTGGCAAAAGTAGGATTAATAATGTTTGTCTCGTACATAGAAAAATTGATTCCTTTTATATACATAACTAGCGCGGGTTTTTTGCGCGGCCTTAGGTTGATTTCCCATACAAACTTTCATCCCCATTTTCCCTCCCTTAAGGGATGAATTCCGGGATAAAAATTTCCTATGACCTTTCCAGGGTCTCAAACTATTTTCTGACCAAATTTCATCTAAATCGGTCCTGTAGACCCAGAGATTACTTCCTACAAACAAACTTACAAACTTTATCTAATATATAAAATTTCCATGTCACGATGTTAGTTACCATTACGAACCGAAACGGCTTTACCGATTTTTACCAAATTTTATATGCGTATTCAGTAGGTCTGAGAATCGGCTACTATCTATTTTCCATACCCCTAAGTGATAAGGATAAGGGTGGTCCTCCCAGACCCCACCCCAGGGACGAACCCGAGCGGAGCGAGGGTGAGTCGCTACTCTCTTTATAATATTAGTATGGTATACACATAGTACAAACTCGAATAAAATATATTTTTATATATACTGTTAATGTTAAATAAAAAAATAGAATATCACTAGCTTTTTATTTATCAACCAATCAATTCCGCTATAATGCTTTGAGATGCTGCATTATTGTTACTCTTTAAATCCGACATTTGTTGCTTTATAGTACGTCTACTTAGACCGTGGACGCTTTTAGCACTCGTCTTAACAATCAAATCTTTTATTTCATTTAATTCCTTTTCATTTAAAAGATCAGTAGAAAAATGTTTATCTAAAACTAAAGAATCTGTTTTAGCCATTTCGTACAACGCCATAAGGTCTAAATTACTTTTTCTCTTTTTAAATTCCAAAGCTTGCTTTCGTTTGAGAACTCGCTTAAGATCGTCTAAGTATGGCTTATTTTCAGCTATTTTAGAATCTATCATTTCTATTTCTTTCTGATTAAGGTTTTTCAGGTCTTCTTCTTGAATATCATATTTGTTTTTTATTGTGGACGGTATGGTGTTAGGTACTGGAATTAAAATATTTAATTATATTTCTATTAAATTAATATAATTGTTTTTTTAATTAATGAAATTTTTAAAGAATATATTTAAATATTTTTATTAAAAAGTTTACTGAACTTTTTTAAATTTAGTAAGTTAAATCGTACTAATATTATAAATGCGAAAGTTTGTGAGGATGTATGGATGTTTGTTGACTCTTTCACGCAAAAACTACTGAATGGATTTTAATGAAGCTACAATAATATAACTCATACATCAGAATAAAACATGGGCTACTTTTTATCCCGGCAAAATGTACGGTTCCCGTGGGATAGATTTGTTTTTCTAGTAGTTTTATAAAATATTAATAGGTACCATAGGCAGTGCACTTACAATAATATTATACCAACTCGGACTAAAGAATAATACAGACAATGTGTCATAGAAATAAACATGAAGCCAAACTATAATGTTTTAAAATAATATACCTACGTGTGAAAAATCGCGCTACCATTTTTATTAACCACAGCATTTCCGTTAAAATTAATGGATGATCAACTATATGGATTTTTATACTGTTATTATAAAATGTACCGCTATCACTTGTGGGTTTCAACGAGAAGTAAGCTCTCATCTTTTGTATAGGTTTTTCTTGATCCATCACATCGCCACTTGATTCTTCAAAAATGTCATATTCTACGCATACAATTTTTTCTTCCAATTTTCTAACTTCAACGTTATTTTTTTTGAATTTTGTAAATTTCTCAGCAATCACTTTAATATGAGGTGTTTCACATATTCGTATATTTGTACTTATTGGCACATGAGAAGTGATATTGTCTGGAAAAATAATTAGATAATAAAGGTATTTTAAGTGAAGACAAGTTGATAAAGATAGAAATAGAACTGTTAACAAGTACAAAATTCGGATGAAAATCTTATATTATACTCGTATTACATTTGTTACAGTCAAAACTCTTTCGTGTTCAAAACTATTTTTGACTGACAAAGACAGTCAAAAGTAGCTTTGACTGCAAGTCTTGATCAATAGCAGTTTTGACTGGCGTATCGGTCAAAACTCTTAAAATTATGGTCACTGGTCAAAACACGGCCCCATGTAACTGGCCACTGTTCTAACCTTACCAAAACTAGAAAGAAAGAAAGAAAGAGTTCTTTTGAGTAACCTTCAAACTACTTATCTTCTTATCTTGTAAGTATTTCGACCGATAGTTGCCAGTTAAGACTGCTACTGACCAAAGTTTGCTGTCAAAATTCTTTTGACGAACCTCCAACCAACGATTTGACTAAAAAATAGTTTTGACTGTGACATATACATACAAATATACCTACCACATTTTTATTATTACACGCAAACCGAGAGCGAAAACCAGTAATTACGAATACCGAAATCCATCATATAAAAATAGACTCAGAAAAACCATTTATAAACAACGAGAACAACAAAAACAATATTATTTGCTTGTATTTATAAAAACTTTTAATGGAAAGCGACAATTTAACTTGGCATTTATAACATCGGAGTAAAACAGATTACCTACTTTTAAACTCCAATTAGTCGCTAATTGGAAGCGAAAATCGTTATTGTTGCTGGAAAATGCTTATTGAAAGGTCAAATATTCAAAGCAAATTCTGAATCTCAAATTTTCATAGACTTAAATTACTTATTGGGGACTAAGCAATTATTTAGATAGGATGAGATATAAAAGAGAACGCGCATATTAAATGCTTAAGGTTTTATGGGCAGAATTCATATTTCACAGTCAACGGCCGCGGTCGAAATCATGTGACAATTGAGTTATGGAAAATATTCGTAAATATTCGGGTTTCTTAGTATAATTTGCTTTATTTTTAACCGATTTCAAAAAGAAAGATATTTAGTCAATTTGTCTCTTTGTGTGATATTTTAAAGTTGATGTTCTTTACCGTCCTTTTTGATAACCAATATAAACATTTTACATATAGGTACGATAAGAGGTATAAGAATTTTTTTTATTTATTTTATAATGTCTTAATAAATAAACTTTACTGTACGATCAGTTTATTTATTTTTTGACTTCCATAGCCTAATTCAAGTAGAACCCTTATAATTTAAATTCTTCCATTAGTCATTGTTTAAGGAACAAAATACGAACCGATTTATAAATAAAACAAATTCGAAGGAAAAAATGGCAAACTACCAACTAGTTAGAAGATAGCTAGTTAGATCTTTGGGTTATGAATATGGCGGGGTTATGAGTACGAGATTCCTATCTATATGGTAGACCTCCCACTCTTTTTCCAGACGATTTTTTTTTATCCATAAAACATATTAACAAACACGATCTAGAGTTGTCACCAAAAATTTGTTCTAGGCTATTTAAAAGTTAAAAAAATATATTTCGCCTGGAAAAAGAATGAGGGGTCCACCACATAATATCAGGATCTTAGACTATGTGTCACAAAAGCTATCAAAAAGGGTATACTAATACGTATTCGTTAAGGCACAGCGTGAGTTAGCGTGAGAGCGTAGTGAGGCTGAGTATAATGGGCTATTTAACTCACACGTAACGCAATGTACCTAATATTTAGGTACTTAGACTAATTTTCTACGTTAGATATTGAGCAATTATAACAATTACCTTTATCTGAAATGAGATATTGTTCTATATTATTAGTATCATCAACGCTTTGCCATTTTGAACCATCTGATGTTTTTATATAGGATTCCCCTTCATTACCATATTGAGAGCAATTATCAACTTTGGATGCACCACAAAGTACTTTCCTCAATTCTTTCAAATTTCTTATTGTGTCCGGAACGGCGGGATCGAAATCATATTGCTGTTTTATGAGAGAGTTGAACTAGAAATGAGTTTGGTCATTACTTTTCAATGATTTTATTGTAGGCATAAATTTGTTCTTAGTACCATTGTTTAAAAAGCAAATTTTAAAATACTGTAGGAGTAGGTGCTGTTGTAGTGGTCACCCTATCATATTGCACTATGATTTAATTTGTTAAAGATTGGATATTTTTATCACGATCGGAATTGCGGACAATACATACCTAGTAAGGCATTAAATATTGTGAAAATATAAGTTTTTTTCTATTACATTATCTAAATATATAAATAAAAATTAATAACCGAAATGTATGTACGCGCATAACTTCCGATCGACTGCACCAAATTGGATAATATTTTTTTTCAGTTTGTTATTGCCAGGACACGCTTTGTATAGAAGGAAATTAAAAGAAAATTCTTTTTACTAAAATAAGATTTTTTTAAATCACATGATATAAAAAGTGGGTGAGTGAAATAGTTTTTACCCCGGAAATCATTCCTTAAGGGGGTGAGAATGGGGATGAAAGTTCGTATAGGGCAAGCTAGGGATGAACCCGAGCGAAGCGAAGGTGAGTCGCTAGTAAGAAATAATAGTTTTTCTTAATTGCCGTAATTAGAAATACATTCATATTACTACTTTTCATGTGAATACAAAATATACATATGGATGGAGGTTATTTATATATTCTAGTTTATTAGAACTAGGACAACTATATCAGGTACAAACTACAACTAAAACGTACATGATCATCCACGTATGCACCCGAATCGTCCGTCGTAAGTTCTACATCTTTGCAATCTGGACTAAAAAAGCAACACCTGTTGGTCATAGGCTTATTTGTTTTGAAGGGATGTCTTCTTGATTTTGGAGGCAGTAATTCTTCGAATTCATCATTGTAATTGGTATCTTTTTCTTTTAGTGGCAACTCATTACGTTTGATACTCGGGACATATTTACGTTGGGTTCGATTCATGATTCTCAACACTCATATTAGGTGAATTGTATTTTGAAAATTTTGCTCACATAGTTAGAAAAATATGCAATGACAGATGTTTACATTGTGACATTACGTTTTAAGAACTAAGTAGTCCTCAGTAAATAATCTGCGACGTGTTATTTTTTTTTACAAAAAAGTTAAAACCATAAAAATTGGAAAACAAAAAATATAGGTATTATACGAGTACCTAGTAGGTATACATTTCATACTGTAAATAAAACGGAGTTGCTTAAGTTTTAGCCAAATGAAAAGATTGTAACTAAAAATCAGATAAGCAATTATTTTTTATCATTCATTTGGATATGTTTTACCAGTGTAACGGAGGTATAAGGCCCGACCACACTATCGTAGCAAAAACAGTCCATTTTCGGTTCGATATCATTCTGTTAAAGTATTTTTATACAAGAAACGATGCTAGAGTGTGATTCGACAGGAACTTCACCTTTAGTGATGTTGTGAATGCACTAATTGTTTATTGAGTAGAAATACTTTACCAGACCGATATAAGGCGGAGAACGAGACGTGAGCGGCACTATAGTGTGGATCAGACCTAAATCTGTAATAGGTACCTATTCGTAATAATTTTGGATAAAAGTTCCCCTTAAGCGAAGGTAAGCAAAAGAAAGGATTTTCGAAAATTCAACCCCTAATATAATAGAAATTTGTTATAAAAGTTTGTCATTTTGTACTAATAAGAATAGGGAAGCTGGTGTCTTGATAACTCGTGCAAATAAAGAATGGGAATATAAATGATGTCGCTGATATTTCCTTCTTGTTCACAAGCAGGTTTGACCGTTATAGCCGTATTTTAGAAGTGAGATCATTTTAATTATGTGATTCGTCGAGCCTACTCGCTAGTAATATTAGGGAAATTTTGAAAACGTTATCAAATATATATATTTTTTAACCAGCAAAATATTTTCTCATCAAATTAAAGAAACAGACAAGTTATTTTGATTTAAGTTACTTTTTTTGTTGACTTAGAAAAAAAAAAAGGATTTGCTACATTAAATTATACCAACCATATGAAAAATTGCTTGGTACTTACTGACATTTTTAAATAACTTTTTATGGAATATGATGATGGTAATTTTGGGAAGATGACATTGCTCATACTGGATACTGTGTAAGATGTGTGTTTTCTGCATCGAATCTTCGCATGCAAAAATATTCAGTGGAAATTAATAGGATCTAGAATTCGAAAAATGAAACTCCTTCATACGAAACTAGGTATATGTTTATTTTCTAATTCATTTTAGTTGTGATACAATAGTTGTATTGTAAAACCAAAACATGATAAAACTGACCATTAAAGGTAATTTAAAATACCTTTCTATACAATAATGCTTAATGTAATGATAAAGTTAGAAGTAAAACACGGTCGATTAACTGATTTACTTTGGAACCGTAATGTCTTATATATTATATATGGTTTTAAACTTTATTTTGTTACAGTAAGATTTAAAAAAATGATTAATTCTAAATAATTTAACAAAGTTACATCAAGTATTGAACTTTCGGACGATATACGATAGTAGTAGCTGGATTATGATCAGATAGTATGTCAGAAGTGGTAAGAGTTCGAATGGTCAGAAGTATCTTGTCACAGTGTGGAAGACACGTAAGTACTGCCATACATCTGGTTGGACTAAATATTTTTTGTATTGAACGACCGTCTACTTGAAGCTGTAAGATATTTGGATAATATTATTTGGTTTTACATACATATAAAAAAATCAAAATAAGTAAAAATTTAGCTCTCGTTAAAAAAAATGTCTTATTTGTATTGTATGGATATATTCCAGTTAAAAGAAATAATATCACCTCATAACCTTTTACATCTGCGACTTTGGGAGGCGCTCTCCATCTTACAAGCAGAGTGTGATCAGAGACCTTCCTTAGCCCAATAAAGATCGCTTTAAGACCCTCGCAACTGCTTTTCACCGACTATTAAGGCATGCAAAAATTATTAAAATTCACATCATTTTCATAAAAATAATAATAAGCTATACCTAAATACAAAACAACGGAAAATATTTGGTTTAAGGAATTCAATCTGAAATTAGTTTAGTAAATAGTAATATCTAGAAAGCACAAGAAAATGAATTTTGACAAAAGTCATTGAATATACCGATTATTGTAGGTTTTTAGGATTTCTTTAAAAACTAGATAAAAATATTAAATACTATTTAAAACAATTTACATCAATTTTAGGTAAATCACCCGCTAGATCCTCAACAGGAATAAACTTAGGAGTAATTACATCCGATTTATTTACAGCTCGTGCTAATATCATATGCAATAAATATTTCATATTATTCTGAAGATTTTCCTGCAAGATTTTGGCTTTTATTTTTTGGATCGAAGATATTAAGTTATTTATAACAATATACATCATTTTTGGTAGAAAAAATTCTAACCATTGATTGAAAAATGTTACAGTTGGTCTCTTTATCGACTCGAATAGTCAGAGCAATAGTTTGTGATGTAGCATCGTCATATTTAGTTTGAATTTGCTTTGTTGAACTCTGAAAATAATTTATTTTATTGATATTTCCTTTTACATATCGATGATAAGCGTTGAAATAATGAAATGTAAGATTTAAAAAATCAGGTAATGAAAAGATTTAAACTTTTTCATGTTTGTTTTATTGTTAAAAAAACTAGAATAACATTATGATTACAATTTTGAATCAACTCAAAAATTCTTATCTGTTTTACAAAGCCTGATCATTAACAAGTCGTATCGAAATAAAGACAAGAATGTGAGAATCGTAAGAGCGGGGAATTTAATAAATTATTTACTTCTACAAGTAATCGATTCTGGAAATTAAATGAAAAATATCCTATGTATTTATTCTAATCGTCTTTTTTATAGACTAGGCAATAATTTTTTTTTTAAATAACTGGACTTGATTAGGTACCAATGCTTTTTTCCCATGAGATTTGTTGTCATAATCATCACTTGCTGTGCTCAGTGACATTGATTTTACAGGACATTTGATGCCCATTTCCGAACCAGGAATAGTACAGACACCCATACTTCTTCTTACCGCTGCACAATTTAAAGAAATATTCTTTCTTAATATTGACCATGGCATATTATCTATATTCTGTAAGCGAATTTTATAAATAAAATAATTTATTTTAAGATATCCTTACATTATGAACTAAAAAATGAAGAAGCATATTACGTACCTCAACTTCTGTTTTTATTTTATTTAACATATTAAGTTCAGGTGAAAACAAGGTGTTAATAGAGTTCATTATATCATCCTTACATCCAAACGATTTTCAGTTTTCTTTTCTAAATTATTATCTAATCGTTCTTTTGCTTTATTGTGTTCATCGTTCAAGTTACTTATTTTTAATCTTCTCTGTATCTGTGTTTTCTTCATTTTACTTACTCGAATATGTTTTAATAGTCGTCTGTACATTTTACTGTACATTGGAATACGTTTTGTAAACCGCTTATTCTTGTGTTTGTTGTTTAGTATATCTTTGTGAATGATCACATTAATTTTAAATTTTTCTTTGCTTTTAACCACTTCTACCATTTTAATAACCATATTACTATTTTCAATTATATTGTTGCTTATATTATTTGCAGGTTCTACGCAGCGATCGCCTACAGGTGTTCGTAAACAGATACTATTTCTATTTTCAGAATTAATCATATCAGATCCCTCACTATATCTTGCTGTTGATATATTATCACATATAATACTTTTGGAAGGTAATTTATAAATGGATAGTATACTCGTTTCGTGTGTTATATCATCTTTTTCTTGTAACTTCGTTTGATCACCTTTGATCATATGCAATATTGGTTTATCAACAATATTACTATTTAAGACAATAGTATTATTATCAAAATCGTCTTCTGCAAGTTTGGTATCCGAATTTCTGTTTGCCACCAAATATTTTTCTAACGTTTGTCCCGTATTTACATTCAATGGGCTATGTAAATTGTTATTAAATATGGTGCTATCTGTTCCTAATTTACCAAGATGAACATTACTATTCGGTGAAACTATATAAGTTTCATTATCATCGAGTACTTGGTTTGTAAAGTTAACATTTCCTCGAAAATTATTTTTAATAGGAACCACTAAATTTCGATATAAGATTTGTTGTGAATTTTCACTTTCCAAAAAATTTTGTTTTGAGTCACTACAACTAACTGTAAATTTCTTATCTTGTGACAATTTAGTATGAAAAGTTTCCTTTGAATTCACTTTTAAGGATACCCTTCTTTCTGTTGGTTTTTTTACTTTTTTATCATTAAGGCACGATTGGACATTTAATTTGGAAGGTGAAGATATTTTAGCTTCAAACGCAGAAGGCGTTAACAGGTTTCCTTTTTTTAAGGGATAAATATTTTCATATGGAATATCTTTGGTAGCTGGTTCGAAGATGAAATGTGCGTTTTTTTCTTTAGCAGTATTGTTATATGTTTTATCATATCTAATTCCTTTGCATAAAACACAGTCACAGATATTGCAGTCACAACCGTTATGAGAACTTTTTGTGGTATTTAAAGTAATACTTCGTCCAATTTTATTTTGAGTACGTGTGCATATTTCACATTCGCACGGTACACATTTGCAAGTATTATTTAATTCTTCTAAATTATCTTGAAATAAATATTTAGAAGATTTTTTATTCGAAAATTTTTTGTCTCTTTTCTTACACATAAGACATTCACACTCTAAGCATTTGCAATTTTCTTTAGAATGGAAGACTGAATTTGAATAATTATCAGAAAATGCAAACATGGCGATTGTATCGAAATTATTGTAATATTTTCTGACATTTTCATCACTTAAAACCGTTCTATGAATATCATTATCGTGACTGTCATTTTGCATGGGCTTCCTCATTCTTTTATTTTGGTCACACCTGCAATCTTCCCTAGTTGATTGACAGGTGTCATTTAAGCAGGTACCACATTGACAGTGTCTGTACGAAATGTCTGTTGATATATCATTTCTTAAAGTTGCCATTGTCGAATCATTATGCGTGCAATTCGCACATTCACATGGTTCGCATTGACATATGTTTTGGTTAAAACTTCCTTGTACATGGGCTACTATAATTGATCTCTTTCCTAGAGTATTCATTGCGCATTCAGTACATTGGCAAGGCTCACAATTGCATAATCTGTTTGACCTATCCGTGCATTCCATACATTCACAAGGTTTACAGTTACAAGATTTTACTTCTTCAGTCTTTTTAACTATACCTCGACAGTCTTTTCTAACACATTTAACACAAGAACATCTGGAATGCAAGTTCGGACTATTCGTACACTCATCACAATCACAAGGACTGCACGTGCACATTTCTTTAGGAGGCAAAGATATTCTGGGAATACATTCACATACTTTGCAACTACAGACTTTATATATTTCCTTCAGTCTTGTTAAAATATCTGGTATCATTTGTACATTTGTACATGATGGTTTTTCTTTAGTGTCAGTACAAGTATCCTTATTACTCTTAGGAACCAATAAGCTATCTTTAAGTTCCTCATACGGAACATTTATTATTTGTGCGCTAAGTTCAGCTTTGGATATATCTCGATCTTTTTTAGTGTAAGTTACAGCAATACTTTCAATTTGAGTTAATGGTTTTTCATAATATTTAGCAATATTTTTTTCATTTCTTTTATCTTTGGATTTGATTGTTGTATGATAATCTTTATCAATTTCAGATTTTTTATTGCTAATTGTTTCACGTACGTTTTGTTTATTATCATTATTTGACTCATGACCGCTTTGTTTTTTATCATTAGTTGATTCAGGAACACTTTGTTCTAGATTGTTAATAGATTCGTGAACACATTGTTTTTCTATGTGTTTTTTACCTTTTTTTGAATTAGGGTTTTCTTTTATTTTTTCATCAGGAATATGTAGAAAACATTTGGCTGAATCTATACAAGATATAGAAGGTTTGCACATGCCGCACGAGCAAGATAATACAGAATTTTTATTTCTTAGTTTGAAACAAGAAATTGAATCACATGTGGAACAAGAACAGAGGGATGCGGTGTGCATTGAATCGGCTTTTGATCTGAAATCTAGTGGTATTTTTGAAAGAAACTCGCTCAACTTCTGTGACAACATTTTTTCTGTACGGTTTCTGATGTTGGTATCTGCAAGAATTATGTCAAGCTTCTTTATAACATTATTTTCGGTAAAATACCATAACTTAAAATGATACACGATGATAGTAATATTCTAAATTCTAATTAGATTACTGAAATAAATTGTAGAAAAGATTACTTTGCAAAGCACTAGATTATACATTATACATATAAATACTTCAAACTACAAATACTAATTTTGCCAATGATTATGCATTTGTACAAAAATATTAGGCTCTTTTTTTAAATATTTGTTTTGAGAGTGATACAAATGTCCTACATATTTGTAACTATTGTTTGAAAAAATTTATAATTTACGAAATCAAAACGTCATTTTGCAGATAGAATGATTACTCTGTCAGTTTAAAATTTGACAGTTCCCTTATTATTATTGGCTTATATTTTATGATGAAAGAAATAATCTATACTATATTACAAAGAGGTAAAGTTTGTGAGTTTGTAGGGGGTAAATCATCCCTTAAGATTTAAGGGGGTAAAAATAGGAATGAAAGTTTGTATTGGGAAGCTAGCTAGGGACAAACCCGAGCGAAGCGAGGGTGAGTTCGCTAGTGATAATAATAAAAATCCATAATAAAATTAAATATTCATTTATTCCAATGAAATTCATATTTTATTAATTAATAATATTCTTTCAATACATGAAACATGTAAAATACAAACTTCGTGTAAGTCGGAATTAATCTTAAAAGTTATTTACAACACAATTGGCACGGAAACGATAAATAAAGTAAATAAAATGAAACTAAAAAAAACATTTATTTCGTTAATCTTATTCGATTGAAGGTACGCTTTGTTCGATATGTTCACTTATAGCTTAGGTATAGCTATACCTAGAGTATAATACAAAGTATATATACAGTCGCTAATTACACTAATGAAGGCACCAGATTGAGGTCGGTGGAGGTTAACTGTAATAAAAAATAATTAATATATAATAAACAAAAACTAATTTAAAAAAAATAACAAGTGCGAGTCGGACTCACACACGAAGGGTTCTGTACCATAATAGTTATTTTTTATTTGCATGGCAGTCTTTTTGAAATTGGTCATCTTGGTTTTTTATTACGGTTCATGAGATATAGCCCTCTGACAGACGGACGGACAGGGAAGGCTTAGTAATAGGGTTCCGTTGGCACCCTTCGGGTACGGAACCCTAAAAACTAAGTAAAAACTAAAAATAATCGTTTTAATCCTAAAATCGTTTTAATTGACATACCCTCGTTTCGCTCGGTGCGTCCCTAGGTAACAATTTTATAACTAACAGTAGCATATATGTTAGTCCAAATCTTAGATTATCTGTATACTAAACATCTAAATCCGTCCAGCCGTTCCAGCGGAAAGGCGAGACAAACATGCACACATACTGACTTTCGTATTTATAATAATAACGTGATTAAGTGCAGTAGTTATTTTGATAATGTTCAAAATATTATTTTAATTATTATCTTACATGTACCAAAAATCAATTGCTGTTCGTTAGTCTCGCTAAAACTCAAAAATGGCTGGACGAATTTAAATATTTGTTTTTTGTTGTATTAGGGGTGTGTCAGGGGCTTAGTATAAAAAAAACAGGGTAAACCCATAAGAACATATATAATATACATATATAATATATACTCCATCTGTTCCATACTAATTGTTAAAACGTACTTAGGGATGAACTCGGGCGAAGCAAGGGTGAGTCGCTAGTTTATTATAAAAATAAAAAATATATATGTAATATGACTCACATAATTCGCACGTTAGTAAGTGCACTATACATCCGTGCTCCAAACTATCGCATTTGTACCCAACGCACAAGATGGACAATTCTGAAATAAAAAATTTGCATAGTTAATATTTTGAAATAGACTTTCATAAAACGTAAATATATCAAGAATATAAACTTACAACAATACTTTCGATCGCATTCGCTAATTGTTCCTCCATAATTTTCACATCGCCATGCTCCAAAACTTCCTGTTATATAAAACATTATTTAATAACGAAATTTCACTAATTATAAAAAAGAAATGCTTAACGAAATATAATTCTCAAGCACTATATAGTTATTTAAACAGCAAATATTAAAACAGCTGTTATTTGGTAAGTATATAAGTTTTTTTAATTCTCATTAGAACTATAAAAAAATATATAAATTTTAGATTATAATCCATACTAATATTATAAATGGGAAAGTGTGTTTGTTTGTCATTCTTTCTCGTTAAAACAGACTGACGGATTAGTCTAATTTTTTGTGTCGAGATAGTTGAATGGCTGGAGAGTGGCATAGGCTACTTTTTACAGCGGGAAATTATCTCATTCCCGCGGTAAAACACCTTATAATTACAACCCAAAAAAATTATTATGATTAGAATTATTTGAAACTTTGTATTAATGCTCTTCAATACAATTAAGTAAATACGTGTTTTAGTATTATTCTAAATTCATACTATAAGGGGGTAAAATGGGCGGTGAAAGTTTGTATGAAACCTATACCTTTTTAAAGTTTATTTGCAGTTTTAGCTGTTATGTTACTCCCTATTACATCAGCTATCTTCTAGTGAAAGTTCCATCAAAATCAGTCCAGTCGTTTTAGAGATTATCCGGAACAAACAGACAGAGAGACAAAAATTACAAAAAAAATGTGTTTTTCTTATAAGTACAGTATATAATTTCATACGCATTTATAGTATAACGTAAATAGTAGTAGGTACTTAGTAAAACGCTATTATTTTGACATACAAACATACACTTCAATTTTATTTATCTGTATAGATTCACAACATGACAAGAACTTCCTGACACACACGCACACACACATACGCACAACCCACCTCCTGGCACTCGCGCACGGCGCGGCGCGCGCGCGGCGCGGCGGCGCACAGGCGCGCGGCGGCGCACGCGCACGCCACGGACGCCAGCCGCGCCGCGCCGCGCACCACGCCCGCATTGCCCGGCGACCGCGCCGCCGCCGTCGCCGCGCACTGCGCGCCCAGCGCTGAGCGCTGCCACTCCTGGCCACACGGGTATTGTGGTCATATGACCTCCTGACCGATGTCGGTCACAGTGGCCAGTCTCACTGAGACTAGCCGGATACGCAAGAGATATTACAGTACACGACTATACGCACAGATTCAAGCGCCCTCTCTATTCCTGTCACTCTCATACTCCGGTGGAACGACACGAGACACGATCGGTAAGAGATCAGGCGTAAATCTAGCGCAACAAATTCTCTCCAAGGCAAGGCACAAGGGTAAAACAAAGCCAACTTCTCAACTTCGCGCTGTTACTGAGACTTTCTAAAAAGGAACACTCAATAACAAAACTTAGCTCGATTTAGAATTCGATCTCAGGACCTCCGGATCTGCAGCCGTGCTTTCTTGACACTAAACCACCGGCAGGCAGTTACACTATATACGTGTAAGCGCTCACTAGCTCTCTCAATGCTCCAGTGCCTACCATATACGGTTGCAGATCCGAAACCCTTGGGTTCGAGTCCCGGGTGGAGCCAAGTTTAGTTATTGAATTTTTCTGTTAACATATTCTCGGTAGCAATCCGATGTTGGAAAGTTGCCGGTGTTTCATCCGCGTTCCGAGGCAGAGCACGTAAAGCCATCGGTCCTGCACCTAAACTCCCACCGGTCATGACGAAGTATCATCACATGAGTAAAAGAAATAGAGAGGGCACGTTATGTCTGCACGTACATGCACTGAACTATAATATCTCCGGCGCTAGTTAACTGACTAGTCTCGATAAATTGGCCGCCGGGGCCAAAATCGGTCAGGTCGGTGTTGCTTTAGACTTAAGTATTACTTTTAAATGCAGGTGTTATCATCTGCAATAATATTTGTTCATACATAGACGTTCATACATATTAATATTATTCACTTATTTTTAAGTAAATTAAATACAAATATAAGTAAAACCCAAACGTAACACCTGATTGTATTTCATGATATCTTACTTACATTTGAATTTTATTAATTAAAAATAAATAAATAATATAAAAAGAATTTTAAGAATTGGGCAATTTTAAAATCTTTCAATTGTTTATAAAATAATAAAAAAATTTAAATAAACGAAATATCGATGATAAAATAAATATCTTTAAACTAATTTTTTTTCTTCAAGACAAAAAATTGAAAACTTGAATGTCAATATGTTAATTTAGTTGTTCCTCAACCATTAGTCGATTAAACACAAAACTAACGCAATTATTATAATATTATATTTTAGTCACAAATTAAGAGAGCACTCACCTCGCTGTCGGTCTTCGCATCCGCATCACCTATGGACCTTATGAGCTCCTTAGATATCGCCATCAGAAGATAATTTGTTATTTTAGCCTTATTCTCATCCGTAACTTTACCGTTAACGGGCATTATCTCTTTACAAAGCTTAGTTAAATCCTCGTCGACAGTATTATGTATTCTATCAAACAAATCCTCTATCAACTGACTAACTAACTGATTCCTCAACGCTGGACACGAACAATGCGACTCAGTTATATAGCTCATGCTGTGATGCATTCTGTTATAATCAGTCTTTTTTGGTATAGCTGTATATATGGAATATCCTTCGTCTACATATTCCGTTTTTTCTGGCTTTAGATCTATTCTCGAAGCGTTGAAACTCTGACGCATTTCACTCCTTAACTCCTCTAGTTCCTCAGTCTTAATTGATAGTTCGTGGCTCATTGTTTTTACTTTATCGTCGCACTTTCTTTTACATTGATTGAGAGCTTTTTGTGTTAACGCTAGCTGCTTTTCTAATGATTCAACCTAAAACACATTTCTCCTTAATTTCATCTCGGTTTCTATGCATTTTAATTGTTTATTCCCATGCAATATTTACACGACACTATTCACATTTGGTGGAACATGCACTCGTCCTCGTGAAACGATCAATCTCTTATGAAAACATCGTTCTCGTATAAATAAAAAGCGGTATAAATAAAACTATTGATATAAAATCTTGTCGGTTGTTGTTAAATTATTTAACTTTTTATTGTTATTTTAATTTTATATCAAAAGTTTTTAAAACATTTAGTATATTCTCACAATACCAAATAATATCTAGCTACTACACAGATACAAGGTTATAATAATCTACAAGCACTAAGCCCAAATCTAGAAGCACTAACTAAACACCAAATACAACAAATATCGTCCAATATTGAAAAAAATAAAGCCGAAGAAAAAGTACCCACTAATTACTCAAAAATATAACAACAAGTGTTTTTCATATAAAAATCTTTGACTTAAATATTGGATAATACAATTAAAAACTCATAATCCCACAATATAAGTATATTCGCTGCCCAAATAAAACTATAAGTAATAAAAATTAATATAAAATCTTTTTTAATCATCAGATAAAAAATATTTATGGCTTATAAGCAAAACAACATAAACAAAACTTTCATATATCTTTTCGAAAAATCAAAAAAAAAAAGAACAATATATTCTATCGACAGTTTATTTAATGTGTTCAGTTATCTATAAAGTTATATCTGACAATTAAAAAAAACTGTTAAATTTTCGCAATCCCATAAAGCTTTCCTTTAACTAAACCCCATTAAAACCCTATGATATACATCAAAATATAAATTCTTACCTCTTCTTTCAACTCGCTGTTAGTGACTTCAAGTTCTTGATTGTTTTTGCACGCTCTAGAAAGTTCTTTCCTAATACATTCTAGGTCTCCCATAAAACTAGCTTCAGTCTTCTTGGACAGTTCCCGATGGCTCTTCAGATCTTCATCTAGCTGTTTGTTCGTTTTGCGTAGATGATCAATTTCCTTCTGAAAATGAAACGAAATGGTTGAAAAGTTAGTTAGGCTGGTTTTTTATTGTTTTCTAACTCGTGTGGTATCTACATCGATGGAAACTAGCCCTTATAGTTAAGTATACAAGATTGAAATTCAGTTTTAAATTACATTCAACACTGTTAAAGACGTTACATGTATAATGTTATAGTCAGTGTGATGGGAAAATAATTTTAAAATGTTAAATGTTCCTTACACACTGAATAATAATATTTTTTGTTTTTTTTTTCAGAGATTTTAATTTGGAGTTTCTCGTCAAATGAAAATAAAACCGAAAAAAATAATGAAAATATCTTCTATACATATAATAAAATTGTAACTCAGTCGAATCTGTACATTAAATATTTTTTGGAAAATCTAATTGAAATAGACATTATTATCGATACAGAGTCCGAATCTATAGTTTTTAGAATTTTTGTCTGTCTGTCTGTTACCGCATCACGAGAAAACCACTGGACAGATTTTAATGAAATTTGGTATGATGATAGCTGGTTATCCGGGTCAACATATAGGATACTTTTTACCGCGGAAAAATACAATAACTACATTTTAAGAGTATACTATGTGTGAGTATGAATGAAAACACTAAGAATTTGGTTTTTAATCATCTGAACGCGGGCGGGCAATGCTAGTCGTAAATAAAAAAAAGAAAATAGTACATTTTATTAATGTGTGTACATAATTGAAAGACATACATTTTTTAAATCGTTCAAAGTTACCTTAAATTTACTCTCAAGAGCTTTAACCGTAGCTTCAGCCTTCTTAGCTTCGGCATCGGCTTTTCCAAACAAGGTGTTCAGATTATTGTTCTGTATTTTAAGAGTTTTTGCGTCTCTTTCAGCTTTCTCAAGCGCTATTCTCATACCGGACTCGGATTCTTCTATTTCCCGCAACTTCTTCTTCAGCGGCTCGAAACAGTTCTTCCATTGATCTCTTTCTGCTTCCAGTTTCTTTACCTGAACAAGAAAATCATTGTTTATTGTTATATTTATCTTCTGAAGATTTCGTGCTTAATATAATATATTTATTTTATTAATATATTTGTTTACTGCATATAAAAATATAAAGTGATTTCATTGGGAGAATTCAAGGTAAATGTTTCAATTATCTTTAAAAAAGATTTCTATCAGTCAACGTAAAGTTGTGAGAGAGTAGCAAAAAAGTGCAAGAGATTAAAAAAGAAATATTAAAAAATAATAATATAATAACGCACACTCTATTTAACTTTTCACTGATCCTAGGCTCAATTCCAGGACCTCCAGATCTACAGTTACATGTCAGCCACTAGATCTTTGAGGCAGTTTTTTTTTAATAAATCCGTTATGCTTTAACGAACTTTCTGAATGTAACAAGAAAAAAAAATCATCTCTAAGTAACTATTTCTGAAGTCGATATTAGGTATTTTTTATAAAGGTCCTATCTCCTCTAGATGATACAGAGGGTGCCGACAATGTATCATCCCGGTCAGATTAGGTATTATTTATAATATTAGATATATGTAGTGACCCTACTTGCTGTGCCAGCGGTCGCGGGTTCGAGTTCTGCTATGTGTGTGATGAGCACGAATATTTGAACTCCAGTCATAGGTATTTATATTTATATTAAGTATGTAATAATAGTTACATATATATTGTGTATCAACTATCTGGTATCCATAACACAGGTCTCGTAGCTTACCATGGAACTAGATGGCGCTATGTGTTAATGTCCCAACATATTTATAATATTTTATTTACTAGCGACTCATTTTCGTTTCGCTCGGTCTCACACAATGTTTCATCCCCATTTCACCCCCTTAAGGGATGATTATCCTATATCCTTCCTAGGGTCTCAAACTATCTTCTTAACAAACTTCATCTAAATCAGTTCAGTAGATCCAGAGATCCCCTACAACGTCACAAACTTAACCTCTTTATAATATTAATATATAATATAGATTAATAATAGTAATAAACATTTACAATAATTAATCCTACCTTCCCTCTAAGATTAGTTTCAGTGTTCACAGCTTCCTCTATCCTCTTCTTGTACCCGCCCTCCATGTCCGCCCACATGTCGTCCGCTTGCGTCAGCATCTCCAGGTACGCGGCCTCGCGTCTCTCCAGCTCCGCTATACGGGACCTGAGCTCTTGCTCTGATGCTAGTAATTCTTGGATTTTGGCTTGTGTTTGTGGATCTATTGGGAGCTGTGGAATGTGGTTTGATCAAAATAATGTGTTATATATATGTTTTATATAAAACTATCTTTTCGGATTTTTTCGCGCATTTATTTTGATTTTTGGTTTCGAATAATTTATAGCAATCATTTTCTCCCGTGGTAATTTATTGAAATCTAGCGACTCACCGCTTTGTTACTTTTTTACTATATGTAAATGTGTAATATAAAAGCAAAAGTAGGTACGCTCATCAATAAATACACAATCAAAATATACCTTTAATCTGGAAATTTGATAATAACATAAATAAAGCCAATTTAGTAACTTGATTGGTCAAAAATTGTAAAAACTATAGATTCAGTCTCTGTATCGATAATAATGTCTATTTCAATAAGATTTTCCAAAAAATATTTAATGTACAGATTCCACTCAGAATTTTATTATATGTATAGATATATTGAGCTCAAATAGACAACAATGTCTTAATGAAATGACGGAAGGCAATAAATAATGTATAATTTCAATCAATTTATTAATTCAGCGCAGTTTAAGAGAATCTAGGAAAAGATAATTTATTATAGAAATTCGTCACGCACTGCGACCGTCGAGATAACAAATGCACGCTCTGTTTACTTTGCTTTTATATTGTTTGTTGTTATTTATATCAAAGGAAGCTGTGAGGCTGAGTGATCTCATGAGATGAATAATAACAACTAAAGGATTTACATCTCGTACCTACTGTTCATATTGTAACGTAGTTGTTTGGAGATAATTACGTTTAGATTCTTAATATTTTTATTACTTAATATTTTTTGTATACTAATTTTTGACGCTTTGTTTTATAATTTAAACGGTGCCTTTTTCTAGTCCAACGCATTCTACATTTCTAGCACGTAGGGTATACGTTACTATTAGCTACCATAATCAATGAATCTCGTAGAGTAAAAAGACAGGAAAAGAAATGAACTTAATAACAATTATTCTGGCTTAGGGATCTCTGATTATAAATATTTTGCAAGTACAATTCACTTTTATCGTTATTCTAGAATATCTTTAACTAAGTATAAATTGTTGAACTCACCTGTTCATTTTGCTTTTCTTTCTTTATCTTATCTTCCAACTCTTCAATCTTTTCTTCAATCTTATCTTTTTTCACTTCAGCTCCACACATGGCGGCGGTTACTTGCCTCTTGGCTATTTCTAATTCTTCTTCTAAGCTCTTAACTTTATCTTCTAGAACTTTCTTGACTTGTGACGTTTGTTTTTCTATATCTCTCTTTTCTGATATTAATCTGTAAAAAATAACATTTTATATAAGAATAAGAAACAAAAAAGCACAATTGTCAATTATATATCTTTTGAAGAGAGAAAACTAATACCTACTCCGTAATAGTACACACTCAAAATATACCTTCATTATGAACGTTGTATATAATACTAGCGTCACTCTCCAGCCCTCCAACTATCTCAACACAAAAATCACGCCAATGTGTCACTTCGTTTCGACGTGAAAAAAAGGATAAACAAACAAACTTTCAAATTTATAAAATTAGTATGGATTAGGACAAATAAATAGTTACACGATTGATTGGTCCGCACTTTTTTTCATCAATTAATTAATATTTTAAATGTGAAAGTATCTGTCTGTTGCTTTGTCTGTCTTTACATTTAAACCGCTGAACAGATTTTAATGAAATATAGCAAGCGTATAGGTAATATCATGGGGACGGATGTAGGATATCTTTTATCCCCACCCCGCTTACTATGAAAGAAGAGCCGCGGTTGAAGACTAGACTAAAACTTACAGTATTTACATATTTATGTATATTTGTTAGCAATTCTTACTCTTATTGTTAGTACACTGACTCATCAATACTACGACAAAAATAATTTTATAATATAATAGCCTAATACATTACCACTAACGCCAGACAGTTATACGAATGTCAATAATATATATTAGTGTCCTTCAAAGTTTATTGAGATATGTAAATGAATGACTTCATTCATACGAGTATGTTAAATATTGTTATTAAATTAGTCATGAATGTTGTAATCTCAAAGAAAATATCACCAAAATATATATACATATATTTAATGCAAATTGAATAAGATTTATTTCATAATGAGCCCCATTTTCACCCCCTTAAGGGGCCATTCATAAATTACGTCACACGAATTTATTGATTTTTTTAATCTTTTGAATGATTTTTTTTTTCAAAAAATTAATAAATTCGTGTGGGCCCCTTGTGTTCTGGCGTAATTGAATAACAAACATCTATACATCCAAACATCTAAACTTTCACATTTATAATGTTAGTAAGAAGTAAGATTGGATTATTCTATCAACCTATTATATTAATATTATTAGCAAATTCTTAGGACATTTTATATTACCAACTTAAAGCTTATGGAGAGTCGAATTTGAAACATCAAAAAATACACTTTATGAACTGGCGTAGGTCCTCTTTATATATAATCAAGTATTTGTATAAGATAATAAGATAAATATGTTCCTATCGATAGTGCAAATATATATTTTACAGATAAAATAGATGGAAAGATTGATAATACAGATAACGTTATATTACTTAGTAGTCGTTGCCCGCGGCTTTGCTCATGTAGCAGGCATTTGTTTAAAATAATTTATAAAACAATCTTGGTACATATTAATCCGGGGTATAGCATATATCCATTGTGATTCAGTTAACCCCATAGAAATCGAAGAAGAAACAAACACAATGATTCACAGACTTTCGATTTGTACTTCCCTTACTTGGGAAATGATTGATGGGGAATCCCATACAAAGTTCCGCCCCGCTTTTTTACCCCCTGAAGGGAAAAACTATTCTATGTGCTTCCTAGGGTCTCAATCTATCTCCATACCAAACATCCAAATCGGTTCAGCGGATTAAGCATGAACAGGTAACAGACAGACAGAGCTACTTTCGCATTTATAATATTAGTATGGAAGTATGGACTTATCTAAATAACACAAAGACAACTCACTGGTGTATTTGCATCTGTAGCTCTGTGACCTGCGACCCGCCCACACTCTCGCAGACGGCCACAGTACCGCACTGTTCTCTCTGCTGCTTGATCTGCTCGATGGCCGCCTTCGCGTCGGGCGCGAGCGGCGACATGCGGTGCATTAACGCTTTCTGTGGAAATGTTTTTAACTTTTTTATTTACTATTAATTTATATTTTAATTTTATAATTTATTCATATAGTTTTTACAAAATTACATAATAAAAATGATCAACAGATAGAGTAGCTCCGATATTTCTTCCGGAAATTTTTCTTTCCATTCCGAAATCTAAAAGATATATACTAAACAAGCAGTACCCGCGGTTTCGCCCGCGTCCAAACTTCCGATCGCTAATACAATTCACAGGATCACCAGCTGGGCTAATCTGTTAAGATTAAGTACCTGAAAAATTCATCAAAATCGCTCCAGCTGTTTTGGAGTCCATAGGAAACATACATACAAACATCGATTATTATTTTATTTAATCAATATTTTTTTATTTATTGCTTGGAAAGTGGAATCTTTTAAGAAAATTTAGTGACACACCGGCTGCAGCGCCACCTACCGGGTTCAATTGTGTTTTCAAACCATCTAGGAGCCTATTGAGATATACACACAAAATTTCATCCAAATCCATGTAGCCCTTTAGGAAGAGTAGGTTAACAAACACACGTACAAAAGAATTATATATATTACGATAACAACAATAAGTAAAGAATTTATAATGTGTATCTCACCTGTGTACCGCAAGACATGTTGAAACCGACGGCCCGCAGTACGTTCCACGCTATGAGAGCCGGCACCGCCCGCTCCAGGCTCTGCAGCCGGGAGAGCAGCTCGTTCTGGTGATATATGAGAAGATATATTAATACTACATCTTGATACTTGGGAAAAATACGTTGACAAACAGACAATTATGATATAAATAAACATTATAATATTTTGAAATAAACGTTTGTACCTACTTATATGTAAATATTAAGTACATTTACAAATATACAAAAAAATTAATAGTTACTTTGAGGAATATCACAAAATTTGATACTATTCTCCGTGTAATGTACTGATATGTTTAATAGTTTTCTCTTTGCAGATCTAGAAAAATTAGCTCATTTTATGTATCATAGTATAACAATTATATTGTAGAATATAGTAGTACTAGCAACTCATACTCGCTTCGCTCGGGTTCGTCCCTGGGTACGTTTTAACGGTTAGTATGGAATAGAAATCTTTGAATTTCTCGTCTATTCTGTACTTTAATATGCATGTATTATAGATATAAACCTTCCTCTTGAATCATCCTATCTATTGAATAAACCGCATCAAAATCCGTTACGTATTTTTAAAGATCTAAGCATACATAGGGACAAACAGACACCGGGAAGCAACTTTATTTTATACTATGTAGTGATAGTCTACTGCTATAATATTAAACGTATTTAATATGAATAAGTTTTTTGGGCGACCGCCCAAGTGGTAGAAGCGTCGATAAAATATAGCCTACGTCAATCAAATATAAACTGTCTATTCTCGATTTCAGTCAGACCCGTCAAGCCTTTACAGTGTAAGGAAATAACAAAAAGAATAAATAACTTTTCAACCGACTTACAAAAAGGAGGAGGTTCTCAATTCGACTGTATTTTTTATGTTTGTTACCTCAGAACTTCGTCATTTGTTAACCGATTTGGACAATTTTTGTTTTGTTTAAAAGGGTGTACTTCCAGATTGGTCCTATTTAAATTTCAAAAAGAAAATACCACCCATAAGGGTGGAAAAATAGCTAATAATGAATTTAACCTACTCATAAATGTCATATTGTCTTGAAACTTTGCAAGTGTTTCTATTTCCGTTGATAGTACAGTGGTTCGGTATTGTTGACCTAATCTGATGGTAAGGCCAGAAGGTGGATAGGTGGAACTCTTCAACGACTAATAGTAGATACTTTGAGTTTGGGCTTATTTTGTTTGATTTGACAAGCCTAACATTAGAATTCTTACTTTGCTACTACTGTCTACACTAAAAAGGGAAAAATAAAAACTTTTTAACAAAAAAATAAAAACCGACTTCAAACAAAAGCACTAAAAAGTAAAAAATAACTGATTGGTAGTTTTCATTTACTATACATACCTAATCAAATATTTTCGAAGTCGGTGTGCTTTGCTTTGTATGGGCTGGCACCGATTTCGAAAATATTTGATTAGGTATGTATAGTAAATGAAAACTACCAATCAGTTATTTTTTACTTTTTAGTGCTTTTGTTTGAAGTCGGTTTTTATTATAGTAACTAATATGTTGTAAAATTTTAATCACAAGTTTAAAACTTTTTGAGAAATAAAGTATTATTATCATTATAGTGTCGACTGGTAACGTGTACTATAACATAGTGTAGTGTAGTATTTTATTCAGCCTTTTTAACGTCCTAGTGCTGGTCACGGGCCTCCCACGCACGATGTGTTCCTTCGCCGTAAGACAAGTGGTAATCAGAAGTGCGAGATCCGGGATTTGAACCCGCTTCACTCGGTTTCCCAAGCGAGCCCGTTACCACTGGGCTGCCACTGCCCTAAAATTAGTAGTGTAGTATAGTGTAGTGTAATATAATATAGTGCAATATAGTGCTAACCTCCCTGGCCCGCAGCGCGCAGTCGCGCGCGGCGAGGTCGGCGGCGAGGCGCTCGGCGTGCCCGCGCGAGCACTCGCGCTGCTCCGTCATATCACGGAGCTGCGCCGAACATAGCTCGTAGTCCATTTCTAGCCTGCAAACCGATATTATTAGCTACTAGCGCCTCACAATCGCTTCGCTCGGGTTCGTACCCAGCTTAAATGGCCATACAAACTTTCATCCCCATTTTCACCCACAAAAAGTATCCTATGTCCTCAAAAATATCCTATCCTTCCCAGGGTCTCAAACTATCTTCTTACCAAATTTCATTGAAATCAGTTCAGTAGTAGTTTTCATTTACTACCTATACATACCTAATCAAATATATTCGAAGTCGGCGCCAGCCGATACAGAGCAAAGCACGCCGACTTCAAAAAAAAATTGCATTAGGTACGTATATTAAATGAAAACTACCAATCAGTTATTTTTTACTTTTTAGTGCTTTTTTGAAGTCGGTTTATATTTTTTTCTTAAAAAGTTTTTATAAAATATGTTGTGATGTAGTAACTAGCGGCTTACCCTTGCTTCAATGGCATACATCCCTAGGTGCCGTTTTTTTAAAGACAAAGACTCTTAAGTAAACAAAAAAAAAGTGTGAAAAATTTGCCACAGTACATTCTATTGCTTCATTTTAAACCGTTTAGACTTTAGATAATGCCGTAGAAACGAGTTCCTTCGATTCAGCGTTATTTTAATTTCCAACAGCAAACACATTTTATATTGTATTTTCTTTTACTATGTCGTGAAAGAATTTTCAGAATCGATTCGTAGTTTTAGCTTGTAGTTTCAGTTTTACCTCTTTATAATACTATTATATTGTACAAAAAAGATATGTTACTACTATTGATTGATATTTGTTTAATTAAATCTTCTCGGCCAAATGAAATAAATTTTGGTCATATTTTTTATACTACTGAAGTCAGTGAAACCATTTCAATTTCTGCGTGATTTAACAGATAATATAAGCAAATTCTAATATTACATTTTCATCTTAAATATATAAAAATTTACTATATTATACTTGTATTAATTACAAAATAATAAATAATACAACTAATAATAATATACTCACTGTTGCCAATGTAAGCGAGTATCGTTCTCTATCTCCTCCAGTTCGCAACACTCCTCTTCAAGCCTCTCGTACTTGTCTTGAAGTTCTAATAGCTGCGTTTCAAGCTCCTATAAAATTATTTAATTATAAAAATTTACACTCAACTAATTTAAATACTTACATATAAATAGATTTTATTATTATCTGTAAATTCTATTTATTTTATCACCGATACTTGACAAAAAAGATGGAAGTTTAAAAAGAACAAATAAGGAAATACATAATAATGTTTAATACTATGTGCAAAAAATGTATCTAGTAAAAATGTTCAAAATCTTACTTGTATTCGATTTTCAAGTAGAAACTCCTTTTGCAACCTCTGAGCGAGCTTCGACTCCTTTACGTCTTGTGCAGCTTCATATATCGAAATCTTGCCTTCTAAAAATTTGAGCCTCCTTTCGTAATACTGTTTGTGTTTCTTCCCCAATTTAACGCATTTACATTCTAAACTATCGCCATCGTTGAGATTTCTATTCCTAACACCTTGCTTTTCTAGTTTTTCTCTAATACTATTCAGTCGTTGTATTTCAGTGTTCAATTCACCGCTGTACTCAAAACTTTCTTCAGTTTGAGTCCCTCGTGATTCGGTTTCAACGCCCTCGAATATACCGCTCTCTTGTAATATGTTATTTGGTTTTCGTTCCTCGCAAAGACTTTCTAAGGAGTCAGACTTGTAGCCTTTTTGTTGGTAAGGTGTGACAGTCGCGATCGCTTTGTGAGTTTTGTGCGATAGAATGTCGATGTCGGATTTTAGTCTCAAATCACATATTCTTTTTGGTTTTGCCTGAAAATTGGGAATTTTTATATATCTATTTCTAATATTACATGATTGAAGTTTGTGTATGGTGTTTATGACATGAAAGTTACAAGAGACAATCAAAGGTTTTTAATTAACTATAAATCGCCATTCCTTCAACTTTCATTTTCAAAGAAGTTTAATGCCCGAATATAAAACCTTAAAAGGATTAGAATATTTTAATAAATAATCATTTAAGCGTTAACTTACGTCAAACTTACATCAATTTAGACTTACGTTAACTAAGCATAACAAAAAGTTTTTTTTTACATATATGAGTAACGAGTTTTAGCAAACACCTTACCTGATAGCATTCATCTTCACTAACAGAACTGCTCAACGCTTGGAAATTGTAGAGCATCATCAAAACCTGTTCCAAGCAACTCCTGTCTTCCGCCGACGCCGCATTTAGAATCATTTGCTCTAAATGGTCCTTCACCGGGTTACTCTTCAACGAGTCACTAGTTTCCGAGTTCCTTTCTAGAACATCTGCTAATACTTGGGCTTTGGCGAAGTCATCCTTGAAGTCATCGTGTGAGAGATGCCTTCGAGGGTTGCAGGGGCTGCTCGGTGTGTGGGGGGACTTGTAGCCGGAGTCCATTCGTTTGAGCTCGGGCGACGCGGAGTCTTTTATCCGGGAGCCGGGTGAGACGCAGCCCGAATCTGAGTCTGTTAGGTTGTCCCTAGCACCCTAAAAATAACAGTGAACAAATTTTAAAATATATTTAAACGATTCTTTGTTATATAAAAAGTATTTAATAAAAGTAAAAATACTGCTTTTATCATTTTTCAAACACATGAATATTCAATCAAATAATGTAAACATGAATACGAATGTTTGCATATTATCAAATAGTACAAACGTAACGTTTAAAGGAAAGGTGCTTTACAATGTTAATTAAACGCCACATAAAAACACTTTGATCCATTGTTATAATAATTTAACGAGGCTACGTATTATTAGGTTAAATTTTAAACAATAACTGACGAGATAATTTGTTTTCGGCACACGAATTGCGTGGGCGCACCTAAGTTTGGTAGTGTAGCAGTGGCTATCCAACCTACATCAATCTAAAGTCTTTAAAAGGTTTGCTATGAATGGTATTAGCATTAAGATAATTTGATTATGAATACATATGTTACAAAAGACCGCTGGTTCTCGTTTGATGTAGATCTAAGATTAGTGATTACCTTAGGCGGCTGAAGCTGGATAATAAAAAGATATCCACAAGGCGCAGGCGCGGGCGTTAACCGTGAAATCGTTTGTTTTAACGCAACGATCTAATTAGCTACGTGATGAAATTGCAACGATTGTAAAATCATTTAAAATCTTATTATTACATAGAAATTTTAATTAAAATTTAAACGAAAATTAAGTTTCAATATGCTGTATAGTTCAAAAAACCGGCAAATCCAAATAAAATTACATTTGACATGACAAAAAGAAATTAAATGAATACAGTGGAAAATCGAATTGACAACAACCACTGTGCATTGTAGTAAACTAATATTAAATAATTGTTGAGTATACTGACATCATATTTTAAAAAACATTATCATACATACTGGATTTATGAATATTCGCAGAAAATACGCAACGAAAAACACTATTAAGGTATCCAATTACCAGCAGTCGATTACACTTCAGTAGGTATTTGTAGCACTATACAGCCATAGAAATGCATAATCGTCTTTACTAGTTATTACGAGTTCAAAACTCAAATTTTCTACGAATTAACATGTTTATTATAACAGATAATATTATAAATTATAATAATCGATAATAAATGATTAAACATAAAAAGATTTTATTTGTATGAAACGAATGTTCAATGTTGGCAATAAAAAACAATAATTTTACAAGAAAAGATTCATTTCTAGATACAAGACTAAAACTTAGGTTCTAAACATTACATACGCATTACGGTACATTCACTGCGTAAATAGACTTTAATTGCGTACAAACGGAACGGAAAGAGGAAACGGTAGCGTCCAAAACCGTATGTACTGCGTTATGACGTCATATCCAAGGTAATCATTATGGTATAAGAGAATAAAAATTGTTGCATTTAAAAAATATAATTTTATTTCCTAAAGTAACTTAGCCTTAGCATTTACGAGGTGTACTGGTATGTAAATTATATTTATGTGAGAAAAACAAAGATAATAAACTTTTATTGGCATTATACAGGCATAGAGATAGATAATAAACAAGATTTTCCTATGGCCTCGCAAAATATCCTTTCGTTTCTATTAGATATGCTAAGATTCTCAAACGTGACCTCTGATCGGTAAGTAAACAAATGAAGAGATCTAATACACCGAGGTATTGTAATAGGCATTTCAAATTTAAAGTTTTGGTAGAGTTGAGGTTAGAGGAAATGTTACTTTGTTATAGATGTTTAATATATAACTTTTTATCAGAATCTAAGCTTACGTCAATAATTGAATCACGTTATCTAGGAAAATCGTTACAAACTAATTTTAGTAGTTTCTTAGATTTAATAACCCTACACACACACTATCAATTTTTCTTTTTTCCTATTACTATAAAATATACATATAATAAAATTCTGAGTCCAATTAAATATTTTTTGAAAAATCTTATTGAAATAATTATTATTAGCGATGCAGAGACCAAATCTGTAGTTTTTAGAATTTTTGTCTGTATGGGAACGCTTCACGAGAAAACCACTGAACAGATTTTGATGAAATTTGATATCATAATAGCTGGTTATCCAGGTCAATATATAAGACAATTTTTACTGCGGGACCTTTATTACCTAATCTCTGAAAAATCTATACTAAACGTTAAAACGAACGATGGTAGTACTGAATATGTTGCTTAATACATACTTCTTTGAGTAGATTAAGAACGCAAGTGACATTAAATAAATATGGAAAGGAATGCACAAGATATTTAAATATACTTATGCAAATATTGCTTTTAAAACATTACCAATAATTCATTCGCAATATGACCAACATAAAAAAGCTCATTAAATTAAATCACGTGCAAATTCACACAAGATTGTCGTTTTGTAGCGTCAGTAAAAATAACAATATTTTAGACCGACTCCTACAATAGGCGTGTCACATATTTGTTTACATCACTACAAGGTTTAATGATAAATAATTGCTTGAAGGTTAGATACTTGCATAAAATTATTTCATACGTTATTTAACAAGCGGTAGAGTTGCGAGTGTACAAATGATTAAGAAACATCTCACTAAAAGAACAAAAACTTTTTGCACTCTCATATTTTAAAGCAAAGAGAATTTATATTTTTTATTTTAATTAAAGATGTTTAAAAGAAACAAATTTTGTTCATCAAAAAAAATTACATAAAAAAATGTATAATAAACACACAACTTCTCTTTTCGCGCTTGAGTTGTCAAGTCAATAGGAAAAGCACTCCCATATAAGGTTTAAGGAGTCAGAAATAAGATATGCACGTCTTGCAGGAAGTGTGCATGACGAATGCTTTATATATTTGGTTTGTTTCGTATTGCTTGCACCTGCAGTTAGTACCTCTACTGTACTGCGTAACATGTTATAATTACGTATAATTACGTAGTGCATCAAACGGGAGCATTCGGTTCTTGAGAGGTAACATTTTTATGCATATAATTATGCACTAATAATTTTAAATAGCCTAAGTGCTATACAGTAGCGTCAACTTTTAGCAAATTTTATTTCTAACAGAACCTGCATATATGTTACTCTATGTCAAAGTGCTCTATATCTATACTAATATTATGAAGAGGAAAGATTTTTTGTTTGTTTGTTTGTACCGAATAAGCTGCGAAACTACTGAACCGATTTAGATGAAATTTGGTAAGAGGATAGACCATGGGAAGGACATAGGATAGTTTTTATCCCAGAAATCATCCCTTGAGGAGGTGAAATTGGGGATGAAATTTTGTATGGGGAAGCAACCCAGGGACGAACCCGAGGGAAGCGAGAGTGAGTCGCTAGTTTCAAATAAATATGTTCAGTCGTTTCAGCGTGAATAAGAAACATACACACATACAAGCAATAATAGTATAAATTCAAAATTAATAATATACCAAATCAAATTTTACTATGTTAATCAATAACATATTTTGATTTTAATATGCAATTATGTTAGCGCCAACATAATTGATAAACATTTAGATAAGTAATAGCTTAATCATAAATCACTTCCCAACCCGTTACCGCTCCACTGACTAAAACCTTCAAACAAGAAGCTAATCGAACAAAACACTATCATTTAAAGGCAGAAGAAACATTACGGCGACAAATTAAAAAAAACCTATTGTTTTTTTTTTTCATTTAATTTTCTTTAATATAATTTATTGCCTATTTATGAAATCAGAAATAAATAATAATATAATTTCAAGAACTCACCTCTTTCAATAAATCCATACTAAAACTCGAGCACATTTTCACAAATAAAATAATCACTTAAATGATCAAAGTCGAGCACAATCCAACAAACATTACGTGTGAACAAAAAAAATCGAGCACTTATGTACTTGAAACTGAAGCTCGAGCACTTACCTTATCCGGGCTAGCGTCTTCTAGCTCGAGTAGCCTGAACTCCATGAGCTCGAGTTGGTCGCGCGCGTCTCGCAACGCGTCCGACAGTCGCGTGCACTCGCGCGCCGCTAACGCCGCCCGCTCTGCCGCACTCCGGCATTGCCCGCACGACTGTCACCATGAGTTTGGTTAGTTAGAGGCTGTCAAGGTTGGGGACTTTCTAATACTAATCATATGATAGTTTTTATACTTAATTATTATGATTTACTTACACCATATTTTATTGATATAATTGTATTTTCCTGTAATAGAGGGTTCTTGGAAGAGAATCCTTAAAGAGATAAGGCGTCCTTTGTACACAATTTTCTTAGCTCATTATTAACTACTTTGTATTTGTACATTATACATAAATAAATAATTATCAAATATAAGTTTTCTTATCATGTGATTGAAACACTTATTAACATGAATAATTCTATAAAGCTAGAAAACTAATTTTATATAATCAATTAAAATACCATAAATATAAGTTATAACTAAACAATTAATTAATTAAAATAATATTTAGTCATACTTCATTAGAGATATAAGTAATAATAATTTTATTAAAAAATTACATCATCATCTAAAATTTACAAAACTAGCAACGCTAATGTTTTAAGTTATTAATTCACTGTTAATTAACTAATTAAGTATAATGTAATTAAAAACAACTAAAGTTTTAGAGCTTCAAAGTTGGTCACCCTACAAAACAATGGAGTGACGCAAGAAACAAGCGCCAATAGTTTAGTGGGTGACATGTTCGTATCGCAATAATGGTATTTACGCCGTGAGTGATGCTCTCGTGATGCTTCAAGGCCAATTCCGAATTCCATACCTCTACAAATGATGTATCTCATGAGGACACATCGATTAGCATTAGCTTAAAAGTTAAATGATATTGTGCGCTTTTAGTAGGTTTGCTAATTTTAATACAAGAATTCAGGATGACGAACAAATTGCTGAAACTGACTTGAAAAAGACAACTTCCAAACTAATCGATGCTACATGTAACTTTTTAAATAACAACAGTATTTATTATTTTATATTACACACCAGCTTCCAGTTCACTCAAGCTCTGGTACTACACCTTTAGCACTAAAGATTCGTACTTGAAATTGTCCATATTAAGATGAGTGAGCTCACACACTTTGTAGGTTTTGTAAAATAATTTTGTAATCTATTTAAAAAAACTATCTGAAATTGCCGTTTATTTTAAGGAAATGCGTCATTAAATTATAATTCTTTAATCCAATGGCGCGAAAAATATTACTTTTAATATCTATATACATTTTAATAAATATTTTTTTAATTACGATTTATTTTAGTGAAAATAAAAATGGCGTTGAGTCATTAAGATCTTAATAGTACTGCATGCGTTACCATGGTAACACATAACTAAAGAATCACGAAAACGTGAGCGTTTAGATGCGGCATCCTGCATATTACATTTAGGTATGTATGTATATACCTACACACATCGTTGACTGAAACCACTTGATGTACCAAGTATTCGGATAAAGAATATAGAAATATAAAAAATATAATATCTATAAAGTATCTTGCCCGTATCTATCTATATCTATATAGGTACATATAATAAAATTCTAATTGCGTCGAGTATATTTTTGTTTGTTGTCTGTCTGTCCGGGAATGCATCACGAGAATACCACTGGACAGATTTTGATGAAATTTGTTTTGATGATAGCTGGGTATCCGGGTCAACATTTAAGGTACTTCTTAACTTCGGTGATCGGACGAGAACCGGTGTGTTCAACGTAATATGGACGTTGGCATTTAAGGTACTTTTTACTACGGGAAAATGTCTCATCTCTGAGGAATCTATACAAAACGTTAAAACGTAACTAGGGACGAACCCAAGCGGAACGAGGGTGACGCTAGTAGTATCTATGAAAAAAAAAACATCGAGCAAACACCTGCTCGATAAAATAAAATAAACGGAACCACTATTGCATTTACAATATTTGTTACATACAACTGTAAAAAATAAACATTTGTAAACTATACTAAATAATTATTTATGTATTAAAAATTATTGTTACACATCCTATTTAAATGTATAATTATATATAAGTCGATTATAAAAATAAATAACTCACTGACCGGATTTACGCAAATCAAAGTAATTATTATAAGTTTAATTATATATTATTATTATTATTCTGTGCGAAGTAGAACTTGAGGAACGTAGAAACGTCAAGATCTTATATGTACGTATATTTTATATATCTACTAGCGGCTCACCCTAGCTTTGCTCGGGTTCGCCTCTAGACAAACAAAAACAATTCTATCCCACGGGAACCGTACATTTTTCCCGGATAAAAGCTATCTAAAATGTTGACCGTGGATATAAGATACCACCATGCAAAATTTCAATTAAATCGGTCCAACAGTTTCGGATATTATCAGTATAAAGCATAAACAGACTAACAGACAGAGTAACAAAATATTTGAAAAAAAACTGGATTTGTTCTATTTCTCTTTGTACACCCCCCTGACTCAGTTTTTAACATTTTTTTCTCTATTCATTCATTCAGACATTAGACCTCTACAGTTTTGTTATATGTATAGAATATAGATACCCACCTCAAACTAAGGAATACTACAGACAGAGTATCATAGAACTAAACATGAAGCCAAACAATAATATTTTAAAATAGTATACAACAGACAATTTGTATAATGAGTGATGAGTAAATAAACGTTAATAAATAAAAATAGCTTACGGATTTTATTCGAACAAAAAATATTAAATAATTAATATGGTATTATTATAATCTGTCTATCAAAGGAAAAGAGTTATGCTTAAAAATATATATTATATTACATCCTTATTATTCATACTTTCTTATGAAAATAACGACTAATACCTTTATAAAATTTCCATTATTCTTTAAAGAAAGTGAACGATCTGTATAACACAATCGAGAATAGTATCATAAACAGCAAATTACGCTTCTATTTTTGACTTTGCTTGAATTTTGGCGGACTCCGCCTATATTTTTGTTTAGTCTGAATCTATACCATAATAATTATAAATAAACAGTGTAAATGTATATATATATATATATATATATATATATATATATAATATATATATACAGTCTATCTATTCCATAGTAACCGTTAGAACGTACCAAGAGACGAACCCAAGCGAAGCGAGGATGAGCCGCTAGTTTAATAATAACACAGCGATGTTTGCCGTAAAACAAGTATCATCGAAAAACTAAAGGAAATTATAACACTAAACAAAATGACGTTCTCTCCTACCACTTTCCAACATTTTAATTCCAATAATTTTAACGGGAACCGACAAACGTCTGCCATGTTAATGAAAACCTTTCGAAGCAATACATGTACGGGAAAATAAACAATCTACAAATAATACTGATTTTATACAGACGATTCTAATTATATAGTAACTTCTGAGTGACTGTGATACATTATTTCACACTAACGAGATACCTTCGCTTCGCTCAAGATGTACACATACTAAAAGAAGCCTCTCACTGCAAGTCAGTCTATCTATGTATGTACATATATACTAAGTTTCATCCAAATGTCTTTAGACATTTCAGGCGTGAATGAGCTACAAACAGACACACATAAAAACTTTTTCATATATAATAGTAATATTAAAGTAGTGTAAGTATATATTTGTAATAGTCTACCAATACGAAATACTCGTACTTTGTACGAGGACGCATTTAGCTTTATGCTCATAATTATATATGCCAGGCGTATTTTATTAACCAACATACAAAAATCGTCCAAAAAGTTGTTGAATAGTAAAGATAAGTTTCAAAAGTTGAATAAACTTTAATTTCTTTTCATTAATAAAAGATAGTATTAAAATATATTAAAATCAGCATTTGTGAACAGGCTCTGGATAATTATTTAGTGTATGTAGCGCATCTATCTGTATTCGCAATTTGCTTTCTCTATAATTGATGCCTTATGATTAGCTGTACGAATGCGGTAAATGCACGTTCAATTGTTTAGAAGATATGATGAACCGTGTTATTATGCAAATTATTTATATTTACAAATTGCAGATAATAAATAAAAAAAGTATAATAAATAAAAGGATTTATATAATAATATTTCGCTGCCGGATTTCGAATTTTTCTTATAATTTTATTTGCAATTTAAAACAATTATTCAATCAATACTTAACGTTTCAAGTGACCACCATTTCGAATTAATGGTAAAAGCTTACGCTTAATTTTATAATAATAACACGTATTTATTTCTTAATTAATATAATATTATTAATAATAATAAAAAAAGAGTATTTATATCTAACAAATAGATATAAATACTCTTTTTTTAGATAGTATTTTTTTTAATGTTCACTTGCCTAAGTTTCTTCCTGTACAGTCAATATTAGGTCCACGGCACATTAAAAATAATACCTACATACATACAAATATTGTTAATAACCGATACTCACCCACATTTCGTTGAGCGGTTGAGGAGAGAGTGAGGCGGGCGCGGAAGACACCGCCGAGTCTTCGTCCGACGGAGCCTCCTGAAATAAAAATAAAAAAATATATAAGGAAACATGTATTTTTATAATACGGATTTACGTATAAATATCCTTATTATCTCACTCATTTATATCTATATACATATAATAAAATTCTGAATCGATCATTAAATATTTTTTTGGAAAATGTTATTGAAACAGTCATTATTGTTGATACAAAGGCCGTATCTATAGTTTTTAGAAATATTGTCTGTCTGTTTGTCTAGGAATGCGTCACGAGTAAACTACTGGACAGATTTTTATGAAATTTGATGTAATGATAGCTGGTTATCCGGGTCAACATATAGGATACTTTTTACTGCGGGAAAATATCTCATCTGTGAGTAATCTATACTAAATATAGTCTATAAATTAATATAGTCAAAATGTTTAACTTACTCTATAAAAGCTTTCTTTTCGATGTTGTATGTCTGTTTTCAAATCTTCTCTGTTGCTCTTTTCTTTTGTCTGGAACAATAAAAAACGAATGGATGAGTATTTGATTAATGATAATATACATTTTTTTATTCATAAAAATGTTGAAGGTCAGAAATAAATATTTAAACATCATCAGAAGGTTAAGAACACATGTTACGGTTTAAAGAAAATAAGACAGTGCACAGGAAATATATTTATCTAATTTATATTTGAAATGGAATATCATATAATATGTATCTAATATTTAATTAGCATAATAAAAAAATAATAGCTATAACTTTTGACTACGGAATTGCTTGCAATGAAGTTTTTATGGTTAACTTGCAAAATTAATATAATAAAAAAAAAGAATATATAATAATGTCAGAAATAAATTTAATTATTAAAGTAAAATTAATGTAAGTCTTGATTAATTATTATTAGTATCATGGACTTTGTAATTGCGCCTGTTGAAATATATCAGCAAAATTACTCAACCGCACTTCTACTCACTAGATAATAATCTATGACGAATGAATTCAATTTAAGTTTATAAATCAAAAGCCTTCTTATCAGATAGAAAACTTGTATTAGTTTGCAGAATTAATAGTTGTTTCAGATAATAACAAGTTTAAAGAAATAGTGGTACCTACTTATTTAGTAGCTAAGTATCTAGTTTTGATTAGGTCTTTATAAAATACAATAAAAACCAGTAAATAGACGTAGAAGGACTACACATACTCCTACATTTTATTTTTCATATTACGACTTTAACTAGTGTTCGCTCACGTATCTGGTCACTTTGTACTTTGATAATATTCCTCAGGAAAAGCTTCATTAATTGGAACAAAAATTTAAAATTGTGTCGAATTTTAAAATAAAAACTTATTTTAATAAAATTTTATTTTTATAACTAATAATTTAAAATATAGGATAATAAGAGATGCTTATAAGCGCAAAAAAAAATTGAATAAACTTAGTGCCTGATATAAATAAACATGTTTCCTTCTGATAAAGCTTTATTGTCATTTTACCAAACACAGTCTTTGCCTTCTTAAGCAATATACAGACGTTACTACCATGTCTTACTCTTAATATTTACTTAACTGACCTATCACGCCGACACTAAAACACTAGAACGTATAAAGCACTGGAAATTTGAATAACTAAAGCAAAATTAATCAATGAACTATATTTCCTCTCGGCCATAATTTTAGATATTCACGATAAAGTGACGAATGAATGAATTTTCGTAATTAATTATGCAAAACAAAATGAGTCACTAATTAATATTAGAATATTTTAAAGTTATTTTATTTTGTTATATTATAATATTATACGATATATATAATTTTAAACACCGCATCCCTAGTTAGTTATATAGATACGATAGTCTATTTTTTATATTAAAGATAATTTAGAAAAGTGTTATGGTAAAAAACTAGTCAAATTCGTGAATAGTAGGGCGTGTTACGTGTTGAAGATTAAGTTTTTATATATTAAATAACATACTTATTAAATATTGAATTATTTTATATATCTAATAGGAATTTTTTTATTAAAATATCAATTTTCATATTACCATATCCCTACATTTCATAAAACGAACCTTACTTAATTAGGTACATTATATATCGACAGTGTAAATCTGACAAAGCAATGTATACTAAAATACTTCATAACAAGAGTAGATCAATTTCATCAGGCACTAACTAGCAAATTGATTAAACAGGTTTACTCAAACTTAGGTAGTGCTTTAACCGTATACAAAGGGTGCAAACCCTTCTCCATTCAGAATCAGATAGAATTCTTAATTTCTCATATTATCTACCATATATTTTTATTAAAAAAAACCATCGTGGAAAATAGGTATTTTGCTCTATGTATTTACACATCCTGATTTTATAAAGGTCAAACTGTTCTTGATCTTGATTAGGTCTTGGTTTTTTAAATTTCAAATTTTAATGTCACATACAAATAATTTCAAGATTCTTCATATGAAGTGGCCCGCAATATAACATTTATAATTAGGTAAATTTTCTCATGAGCCCCTTATGATCATCGGAAACCACACTTTGGGAATCTCTGGCATAAAGCTAACTGGTGAAAGGGATTAACGGTTAGTCAAAGATGGTAGTTTAAACACAACCTGTTGTCTATGATGTAGACACAAACCGCAAGTCCCAGGCTGCGTGAACTTTCTACACTTGCTTATTACATTGTAAATAATATTTTTTATCAATACTTAGGTGCTCATATTTATATATATTGCAAAAATCAAGGTGTCCGTCTGTTATGATGAATTTAAAGTAGCGCTTACGTAATGATATTAATTTAGTATAGGTATATTCAAATTCAGTTTGCCTCGGTGGTGTAGTGGCTAGCATGTACGGCTGCACACCCGGAGGTCCTGGGTTCGAGTCCCGGGTCGGGCCAAGTTTAGTGATTGAGTCTTTCTGTATAGTAAATCTCAGTAACAGCCCGGAGTTGGGAAGTTGGTGGTGTTTCACCCCCGTGCCTCGGAGAGCACGTAAAGCGGTCCTGCGCCTTAACTCTCACCGGTCGTGTCGAGTGGTGGTCCCACCGGAGTATGAGAGTGATAGGAATAGAGAGTGCAGTCGTGTCTGCGCGTAGACTTGAGTACTATAATATCTCCTGCGCAGTTGGCTAATCTCAATGAGATTGGCCGCCGTAGCCGGAATCGGCTAGGAGAACATCATTCAAATTCAAATTGAATGATTTCGAATTCAATTTCTATTGCATATGAAACATCCCCTGTATTAAATTAACAAATATAATATATTATATATATACGACGCATACATAAAACTTGAACAAACAATAAAATATTGTTTCTTATTATAAAATCAATTTAGATAAATGTTAGCTTGTTAGTAGGGCAGATTTATCTGTCGGTTTGCAATATCACGATGACCCTCCGCCTTTCTATTGACTTTCGCTAATCAAGTATTGATCGATATCAAGAATCCGAACATTCATAGCTATTGAAATAGTAATTAAATGAAGTACTCGTACTTATTCAATGTACACACGTGATACTTTATATGCAAGAAAATGAATAGAAAAGGTTATATTGAACTTAATTAAACATTAGGATTTGAAATTAAGACCAAAGTAAAACTAATACGAAATATGAAGTATTTACGTAAAATAAAGAAAAGTCCTAAAAAATATCAAAAATATATATTCCTAATATTTTGATGGATATCTGTTATGAAATAATATATTTATGTTTTTAAAATTAATACACTTAATCGTAAAATGGCATGTTTGACGAATAACTTATACCTACACAGATAAACATATTACCTATACATATAATAAAATTCTAACCATTGTGCGTCGAATCTTTTTTGGACAATCTCATTGATCCTTCAACGACCGCGGACACGCCGGCGTTACAGTTAACAATAGATTTCTTAGAAATTTAAATAATTTCTTAGAAATTTACCTGGAGATGGAGGTGATAATTATCGATACGGACGCCGAATTTATAGTTTTCAGATTATTGTCCGTCTATCTGTCTGGAAACGCATCATGAGAAAACCACTGGACAATTTTGATAAAATTTGGTATAATGATAGCTGGTTACCCGGGTTAACATATAGTATACTTTTTCTGCGGGAAAATATCTCATCTCTGAGAAATCTACAGGTACTTGACCTTAAAACGTAACTGGGAACGAACCCGAGCGGAGCGAGAGTGAGCCGCTAGTAAAATATAAGAAATACTACAACTTTAAACTAAACTTTGGTCAAAGGTCACAGTACTTTGGTAATAATTGAAAATTCTTGAGAAATGACACACAGGTCTCTTAAAACGCAAGACTTGTTTCTAGTAATTTATCTAGACGTAATTGATAAACGCCGATTGCCAGAACTACAACAACAGTGAAATATTGTAATTAGGTCAAATCCTGTAATGGAACAATAATTGCTCATTGAAACTAATTCATAGTCAAGTCTCGGCGTCGATCTATATTCTCACCTTGGCAATGAAAGTAATTGTTAGAGTTGTCGCACATTGGAGATTTTTATATTATCGTCATGTAACTCTTTCTGTCTTTGTTTAAATATATTTAACTAAATTCAAAAAAGTAGTAAGTAATACTCAATTGCGGTGTTTATTTTTTTTGCGAAGGTAGCACAATATTTTCGCATTTTTTTACCAATTTTAGTGATTTTTTTAACCGACTTCCAAAAAGGAGGAGGTTCTCAATTCGTCGGAATCTTTTTTTTTATGTATGTTCACCGATTACTCGAAGACGCCTGAACCGATTTGGAATTATTTTTGTTTCAAAGGGTTTACTTCCCAGGTGGTCCCATATAAATTTAATCGAAATCGGTTGAGCGGTTTTTAAAAAATCTACAATAAATATATTTTTTAAATGAATTGTATAATCATGTTATTAAAAAACTTCTTCTTACAAATTACCTGCTTATTACGTCTACACTAAAAATGGAAAAATAAAAACTAAAAAAAATCCACTTTCAGGCACTACAATGTAAAAAATAACTAAGCACAGGTTTTCATTTAGAATAGATACCTAATCAGATATTTTCGAAGTCAGTGCCAGCCGATGCAAAGCAAATCTAATATATTTCGATACGTAAAATACATATTTATCTATTATATATACATATTTTAAATTATTGTCGGCTGGCACCAACTTCGAAAATATCTGATTAGGTATCTATTCTAAATGAAAACTTCCGTTTAGTTATTTTTTACATTTTAGTGCCTGAAAGTCGGTTTTTATATATTTTTTTAAGTTTTTATTAATTAAATGTGTGGGATGTAAAGTTTAAACTATATATGTATTAAGGTTAATTTGAAGTTACACGTACCCGACAGCGAAAAAGCACAGAGGAAGGTTGTGTTTGACCTGTATACCATAATTAATAATAATAATGTGCATAAATGTTATACATTGTGATATTTTAAATCCTGCGTTCCACGTTATAGTAGCTATGCAGTATAAATTATCCTATATGCATCTACTTTTAACGCACTTGATTCGAATGTAATCG